AGCAGCCCACCTTCGCCCATGAGTCTTTTGCCTCCCGGGTCACCCCTTTTTTCCTCAGCTCTTCGGTGTTTCTGCTGGTTGCCTTGAGGTGTGCGCCAGAACAAAGCGCCAGGCGCTGAAGCGGCCAAATCCCGAAGAGTTTGCACGGCCCCGGCAGGAGCTTTGTCCACAAGGGAAACTTGATCCTCGCGCCAGCCCGAGATCCGTCTGAGAGAAGCACCAAGTATCTGAACACATGGGTCAGTACTTTCTGATGTACGGGGCCAAGGGGTCACTTGGTATATCCTCGGGTTTTTTTGGTAGGTACCAAGGGAAACTTAGAGTGGTATTTGGTTTGGTACTGCTAGTTTCAGATCCAGATTTTGGGTACCGATATCTCGGCGAATGGCAACATGAAGGGCCTCAACTCGCGCCCGGGTTACCCGGTCGGCCGATCTATCGAAAAGAATCCCGCGTCCCCTCGGCGTTTTTGTATATTAGGCTCTTTTTGGAAGGAACAGCATAACAGCACTTTCATAACCAGTTCCTCTGCAGGCCTGGGCAATTGTTGGGCATGTGTATTTTTTTGTTCTCGCCTTGCTCAAGTGCTGCAGGGGTAAAGCCGTTGCCAGGATCTTTGAAGGATCAACTATTGCAATTTCACGGCCGGTCAACGGTTTTCCCTCAACTGCCTGTGGACCAGATCGAACTTGCGAAATCCTGTAGATCCTCATTGACCATGCAGACGGCAACCAAAAAATCGCTCGAACCGAGGTGCCAATGTTACCGCTGCAGAGCCCTCGAGAAGGCTTGGCGTGGGGCGGCTGACGAGTTTTGACGCGCGAGTTAGGCCAAACAAGTACGCAACTGAACCCACTAGCTGCTAATTCGTTGGCTATGACCAGCGTACACGTCCAAGTGCTGAGCAAGTCAGAGGGTTCAAGGGGCTGTTGCCCCTCGACGAGCAAACTCTTGGGTTTCCATTGGTTGCAACTCAGTGGTTTCTGGCAAGAACGGCTCTGAACGTCACAAATGAAGCCACTGCAACACAACATGCATAGAGGAAGCGGCTTGCTGAGCTCAAATTCTTTTCCCCGAGCTTGGAAGGAAGGACCATTGACCATTTTCAGCTGAACACGTGCTTCAAATTGCAGGGTCGTGCTGGCGTAGTTGGAAAAGGATCTCTTCCATTCTTGTGGAATTGCCCTCCCTCCCACGAATCTGCCACCTGAAAAGAGGTCCTCCAAGAGGAAAGTGATTTTGGTACCCTCCGACGGGTGGCCATGGTTTTGGAAGAATGGGTACTGTACTTGCTTGGATTTCGCTTGGCCTGGGTTTCAGTTGTGAGGAGCAGGGAAAGCCTGCTGGCAGCCGTGGCAGACTATTGGTACAGATAGCCTAACGAAGACCCCTTAACGTGAGGCGCACAGACCCACATATCAAGGGTAGCAGTGGGAAGGGGACAGTAGTTCCGTGCAGCGAACGGAATACTTGTGTTTGCCTCTTTGCATCTCCGGCATGTTTGCTTGTCTGTCTGCCTGCCTGCCTGCCTGCCTGTCTGTCTCTCTGTCTGTCTGTCTGTCTGGGTAGCCTCAAAGAAGGTACCTGGACTCTCAAACTACCCCCTGACAAAGGGAAACCGCCAACATGTTGGGGGCTTAGTCCCTTGTGTTTACGTTTTTATGGGTGGTTGAAGGATTCTGCTTCAATGAGCCCTGCCCGCTCTGCCGCTCTGGTAGGCGCATCGAAGAGCAAGTATGGCAAGAGCGAGGACCGGTGACCTTTCGATGGGGGTTGGTTTGGTTAAAAGTATCCCATATCCCAGGCGGTTCGGCACAATAGAAGCTAACCAGCCATTGTCCCTTTGCTGGTTCCCTTGGCTGCCTGCTATACCTGGGTATCATGCTGAATCATGGAGATATATAAATGAGCGACTGCTTTGTTTTACAGAAGACTAAGGAAAAGCCGGAGCATTTTTCGGGTTCCAGACTGAGTTAGGTTCAAAACGAGGTAGGAACACTCTCAAAACGGGGTAGGGCTATGCTATATAGGTGGTTGAGCTCGCAAACACATGCGGAGTTGGAAAACAAGGTCAATGAGTCCAGGCAGGCTCAGGCATGTTGAGGTTCCTCATCTGGGTTGGTACTAGGAAACCAAAAGCAAGCCATTTTTGAGGGGTCCCCAATTTTGAGACACACCCAAAACACAGAGCACGCATCAAGACACACGCCTGGTCTCATAGGCAGGGCTCAGTATCAAGTCAGGTTTCCAGCTGAATCGCATCTCCGCAACGTGTGGATGAGACATTGAATCTTGATGTGCTGAATCCCTATGTGTCACAAATGGCATTGCCCCAGTGTCACAGTGTAGTGTGTTACCACTGTCTGCATGACCACCGACTTTGGCGCCAGCATGTTACTCTTGACTTCGCGACGAATTCTCCCTGTCGGGTATTGTTCCGAGAGCAGCCTTGGCTCTACGTTGGCCTCAGTCTGTATGCCCGGCCGGCTGGTCGACAACTTGCAGACTTGGCCGGCTCCATGATTTCTTATAGAAGCAAGAGGCCAAAGCGAGTTGGTCGCGTGTCGATAGCGATCGAGCACATGCAGGAAGCTTGGTCAACCATATCTTTTGTTGTTGCTTTGTTGCTTGGGTATAGTTTCGTAAGTATTGGTATGCAGGCCCTTGACACAAGAGCGACACCCTTATGTTCAATGGGGCGCGCCACGATTCAGCACGATAATTACGGTATCCACAGAGCTGATGCTGTATAAATAGCACCATGGCAGACTCAGCTCAGGTTGTGCCGAATGTAGGACCGAGTGCATCTTTTGTTTTAGAGATACCTTTTTTGGGGGGGATCTCATATGTTTGCAAGGAAACCAAAACCACGGAATGCCATGGTCGCGCATGTTCCCAGGATGTGCGGCAAAACAAGGGCTGGAAGGTGCTGAAGAGCAAGGCAGCGGCTTCGGTGGCTCTCCCTAGGGGTCTCCCAACCACCCAACAGCGGGTCAAAGTGAGAAACTGGCTCTGGTTGCTTCCTAATATAGCACTTGGCTGGAGAATGGGATTAGTTTTGACTTGCTCATAAATGCGACATGGTCCTAATTAGGTGATTCGAGACCTTGGGGGATAAGCATTCTTTTTGCACGCAGGGCAAGGTGACCGACTTCAGCGGGATGTGGGTGTGCCTTATTGAGGAGTCCCCCCAATATGGTGGTTTTGCTTTAGGTTGAAGACCAACCAAAAGGGGATACCCCGACAAACAGACACACCCATGTCTTGCTTCCAATTCCACGCTATCTAAAATTGCGAATTGCGCGATTGCCCTGGTAGGGTGGAAATGATTGCATGTGCCAAACAGCAAGGGCCTATTTGGGGGAACCTATGTTGAAGGTGTCGTGGCGCTTTGATAGCGCTATGGCCGCGTGGCTAAAGAGTGGCAGGCATTGCATGATCCTATGGTCATAGCCTCATCTAGTTTTGAAGAGCTCCACAACCACAACCCCGTATTTATGATTTGGGCCCTTAGCATATACTCAGTGATGCTGTTTTCCGATATTACAGAGGGCTAACAGTTTTAACACTCAAGCGGAACCTGTCCCATCACAACGTAAACGTCCTAGAAGTCAAGCGCGTATGGGCAAACTGAACAACCTGGTCTCAAAACTGTGGGTGGTACAGACATCCCCAGCAGTGCGTGCGCATGTAAACGCCCGCGAAACGTGTGGGGACTGCCCATGGCACAACTTCCAAGGGATTCCACACGGACATCTCATGGGTCCCTGTCGAGACATGCCACTGGCTCGCATTGAAAACCATGCCGGATCCCAGTTCATGTTGCCCCCAGATTCATCACCCCCACTTTAGTAGGGGGCTGTCAGGGTGTCCCTGGGTTAGAAGAAGAATCAGACCACTGTTGGAGGAGAACTAGGAAACCGAATGAGCCGAGTTTTTGTTTGATCCCGGGAACAGGTTGCTATGAATGAGTCAACGGGTTGATCAGAACTGGGGTCAACGTTACCATCGCCCATCGCGCCATCTGCCAGCCCTCCACCCCGGGATCGAGGATCGCCGGTGAAACCCTCGGGACCCGACTGGAAATGGGTAGCGAAATGTATCCAGCCCCGCGGTCTCAAAAAGGGTACTTGGTTTGGAGAAGGTTTTTTTTTTTTTTTTTTTTCCGCAGATTTTCTGACTCAAAGGCTGTTCTGAAAGCCGGGCAGGTGGTGGGAGCTGCTATGAAGGCGGAGTGACTGGTGCCCATGGTGCCCATGCGATGGCTTCGAAGGGCGGGGGACGGGCAGAACATGGATCCCCAAAGCTGTTCGATGGGTAAGACAAATATGAAGCAGGACTTGGCAATATGATCTGTTTGTTTACCCCTTTGGGCCAAAGGGGGTGCGCAAAAAGGAGACTGCACCAAGTACTGAGCCGCTGTTTCTCAACATAGAGAAACCTACTATATGGTTGCGCTGCGAATGTGTTTGTAAGCCCTCGATGTGCTTGGTAAGGACAACATGTTTCCGTCGAGTAAATCGAGTTTGAAATTTATGAGGGACCCTTGCAAACCACATAACTTATAAGACAATAATAGGGTGACTTTACAAGAGAATAGGGTACACTTGCCCCGCAAACTGTGTGGGTGATTTTCCCGCGTTTTCAGGGGCACCAGGTTGCAATTTGCCCAGGTCCCAGTGGCTTCCACGTTCCGCGTGCGCTCGCAACTCATGTTCGATGGCCGCATCCAGCAAGAGTTTCCCAGGTCAAGGCACCAGACGTATGGGAGAAGATATCGCCTGGAAGAAGTTATGCACGAATTGAACGCTGGTTTGCAGATTTGCAGTTGTGACTGCGGCAACTGCATGATACACTGGCGTAGTGTTCTGTCTTGAACGTCCAACGGGTTTTTCACCAAAAGTTGAGGAACCAAGGATTCACGCTCGTGCCATGTGCTGATCTGTAAACCTGCAATGTTCGAGTGTCTAAAAGTCAGGGACGACAGCCCCATTGTTGAATGCCTAAGAAACCCACGGAGCCTCTGCTTCCGGCGCCATGGACGAGTCTCCGTTGGCAGTGCCGTACACCCCTCAGCCTTGCTCGAGGCGGATGGGTGAGCACCCCCGCCTCACAACGGGGGAGGTTTAGTTGTTTTCCGGTGAACAGGAGCCAAAGGGTACCACCAAGAAGATGGGTGAAAGCACCTTGGGCTTAGGGCCGGTCAAACATGTTGTTGGAGAAATCTACTCTAGGTGGTTTTCTTGTATGAACATGTTCTTCTCCCCCGAATTGCCATTGCCCTGCCAGGATCTAAGCGGCGCCCCCCGTGCTTGTGGAACATGGGGTTTTAAGTTGCCAGTTTCTAAGATTGGCCACTCACCTTCAAAGTGACATTCAGCAGTCACGGTGACTTCAAACGAGCTGCATGGTATCACAGGAGGGGCATCTTGCCACACAAGTGGTTGATTCCAATTTTTGAAATTCCAAACGAATGGGTTACTCCCATTGTGGTGTGGTTTGTTGGCGGGGCTTTTTCTGTGAGTGGGCAATGGAGTCTCGCTCAAAGTGACATTCAGTCATGGGGAGGCATACGGTGCCCAACTTAGAAACAACATGTCACTTACCACAATTCTTGGGACAGGTACCATGTTTGATATCACAAGGGGCAGTTCCCCACCCGGAGATTCAATTCAAAGTGATACCGCAGAAACATGGAAGTGCCAAAGGGGTTCCCTTCCAAGTCTTAGACTGGCAAAACAACTTTCTATGTTGGGGAGGCGGGATGATGCAGTTCCAAGAACCAGGGAGTTGCTCATAAGAATCAAGGATCCGGATCCCTGAAAGGGGAACTAGGAAGCCAACCAACCGGCTGTGCCACTTTGAGAAACCAGGGTGGACACCCCGGGAAAGTCCACGATGCCACTTTGGGGAAGTTAGAACCAGCTCACCGATTCGGGAAAACCGACCCATCAAGATTCGTGATTTGGGGGAGTCCGTATTTGATGTCATTTTCATGAACCAGGGTCCTTATTATAAATGTCCTTTGGTCGTTTTACGCATCAAGTGTTTGGCCCACAGGCAAGTTCGCTTGGTCGTGATGTTCTCTTGGTAATTTCAAGGAACCCTGTGAATCATACCTCACCCTCCATCTTGGCGCCCCTCAACCCCCCCCCACCCTCCCCAAACACACAGGGTACCAAGAGCAAGACATCCTGAGGCGCAGAATGGGTTTAGGGTTCCTTTTGCTCGCCCCAACCTGAACTGTGGGGGGTGTGGTAGGAGCAGGTTTATCTCACTTGCTGAGTTCATGAACTTTGAAAGCTTTTGGAAATAAAAGCATTTTAGCGGTAAATGCAAAGTTTGGACTTTTTTTGGGGCCATCCACGGAGCCAGTGAGTTATGGTTGCAGTTGCCCAGTGGTGCCCTTGGTTCCTTTTTTTGGGAAGGGTGTCCCTTTAAAATCAAACCAAACAAGGATGCCCTTTTTTTCCATGGCCACTGGGCATCTGAGTGGTCGCCAGAAAGCTGGGCGTCCAAAAACTCCCCGTACGTAGGACGGTGTCGAGATGGAGCTTTAAAAGCAGCGCCGCGGTGATCAGCCCCCCGGCACCTTGGGCGAACAAAGCTCAGCGGCCATGTGGAGTGGATCCCGTGGCTCTTGGTTCTGCGTCGGTACCTTTTTCGGGGTCCTGAAGGGAAACAGGGTTGAAACAAGAGGAAAGGCATCATTTGGGGGGGATTTTCAAGGGAAGTGCTTGAGACAATATGTGTGTGTGGTTGTGTATGTTTGTTTTTAATTGGTAATTTTTGAATGAAAGCAACCTTTATTTATATATATATATATAGGTGTATATTAAATACACACTTTTACGGGGGAGGGTGAGGCGGAGGAGTATTCCTAATTGACACACCCACATACTCACGATTCTTTGCAGAAGCACCGAGTACTTACCAAGAATAGGTGGGACCTGAAAGGGTGTCGAAAAAAATGCGACAGCTGGTGTCCGGGCTAGATGTCGAGAGGTCTAAGGCGGGTGAAGACCTGAGGCAGGGGCACTCAGGTAAGCCGGTTTGCAATGGTTTGAAGGGAGACCTTCACCAAACCACCAATCCAAGCCACCAAAGAGGAAGTTGAGACATGGAGGTGTTCCACAAATGGTGAGTTTCCGCATTTGCATCCCTTGTACCACTAGGTGGAGTTATATATGCAAAATCGGATGCCCCGCGAAGAGGGTGGGACATGTCCATGACGCAGGCTCTGACAGACATAGAAGCAGTCGTTCAAGCTGTAAGTCATGACATTGTAACGGATGGGAATAGAGGTGAAGAGATCCATTTCTTATCCAATCCTCAGCTCCTATTTGTCTCAGAGCTGGATTGGGGAATGAGTGAGTGAGTGTCTTGAGTGTCTTTCCTTTCTCTTACCTCTCTATATCCTACCTTAATTGATGGGATTCTAGAGATGGATATAGGAAGAGATGGAAAGAGGCTTGTGCGTCGATGTGTCAAAGCCGCTTTGGGCCTCTCAGATCATGTGAACAGCAAGGCAACCACGTCAAGCAGGGCTCGCTAGGTTCAAATGCTTAACCCCAGTTCAATCGCCACCACTTTTGGTGTGGATCATAGGTTTCAGGCAACTGAACATACGCCTTGTTTGCATAGGGTCACCGGAGGGGGTTTCTCCCTCCCTTCCTGCACGCGTCCCTCACCTTGATTTTGCAAACGCCTGGGTCTTTGCCCGAAAGGCGTCCCAGCGTGGCTCCTGAATCGCTCGTGTGCCGAGAACAACCAACTTCGACCGCCGTATCCTCACCTCCTGCGGAGCTATTTGCGGCCAGGCGGGAGCAGCCAGTGGCCACGTACTCACTGGACAAGTGGTTTCGAACCTTTCAACGGGGTCACCCCAAGTATCTTTGAGCGCACAGAGTCCCAGGGGCTACATGTTTGACTCTTGCCAACACGTGAAACAATGGGTTCGTCGTTTTGAGGGTGTTCATTGGCGTACTGACGAGCGGAGAGGAGAGCTTGCCTGCGAGCAACATGGTCCAGCTACGAGGTGTCAAGCTGTAGGAGTTTCTGCTTCTGAATGAATTTGAGTTGCATTCGTCAAATCCTGGGTTCGCGGGTCCAAGCACCTTGGATCTACTTCAGGGATCATTTGGTTCATCACCAAAGGACTTTGCTGCATTTCGGTCGCCTTTTCTTGGCGGGCCCAAACTGAAGGCGGGTGCGTCCTTTTCGGGTTCTGTCGGCCTCGAAGTGAGCATCAAACAGCTGTCGAACTCCCAACCGAGGTGTGGTATATGGTTTTGGGGGTTCTGCAAAGTTGCTGTCATTTTTGTGACAAGTTGAAGCCTTTCAGCTGTCGGCTCGGATCTGTTGGATATAATTCTGTATACATTATGGACAAGCAGATGAACCGCTTCTAAAGCTAGGGTGGAAGCTAAGTAAGTGGCATCCTGCACCTACTCAGCAGGTTAAGATGGAGCCCAAAAAGGGGGTCCTTCAAATCAAAAGGAGATTCTTTGAAACAATGTTAGTTTTTCAGCTTTCGGGTTGATTTGCATGCCTGGAGGGGCCATTTGATGGAGGCCAAAAAGGGGTCATTGGTTCATCCCAGCTGCCAAAGGGCTGGGGAGGAGTGCCTCAGCTGTTCTGTCAGGCGATGCCTCAAGCCGTTCTTGCTCACCCGCGCCTTCGCAGGAATTGCCGGAGGGCTGGGGGGTGAAAGTAGGTGGCATTGGCCAGGGGGGGGGTGTGGGATGGGGGGGTGGTTGTGGGATTGGGGGGCGGGGGGTTGGGAAGGGGCATTGGCTTTCTTGCAGGTTGATCAAAAGGTCCGGCATACATGGGATGACCATGGGGGAAAACTACGAAAAGGATGATGTGTCCCACTAGATGGGAAGAGTTGGTCACATAATGACAAGTCTTGCAAACAGGGCGAGTTGACACACTGCCCGCAAGTCAGAATACACATTTTGCACAAAAAAACGGCTGATTTTGAAAAGAACCATGGTTGAACATGCAGACACCAATTGTGGCCCCAATTGTGTTAGAGGCGGATGTCTTCAGCGTTTCATGCAAAACGGGGCGTATGCACACATGGTTGCAACTGGGGCGTATGCGCACTAAGGCGTATGCGCACTAGGGCTCCGGGGTTATGTCGTTTTTGTTACTTCCTTGGTCAAAGTTTTCACCAGTGCACCTCAAGGGTGCAGGGGTGATTTTGAGAAAGCGGCCCAAACTCCTATGGGCCGATTCAGTAATGGATTTCAATTCCTGTTTTACTGTTTCTTTTCTGTTGCGAAGCTTTGAGTGTGTCTTGGCGCCCGGCTGACCTTTTGCAGCCAGCGTCCAAGTTACAACCAGTGTCACTAGCTTTCCTGTTTGGGGTGATGTGTCTTCATTTGACACCTGACCAGAAAGGGGGCAAGTCCATTTTTGTCCGCTGAATTGAGCAAGTCACAGTCCAGCATTTCAGCGATGTGATTGGATTCAGAGCAGCAAGCCGTTTGAATGAAGCAAAATTGAACAAGTTGCATGTGGCAATTAGGAAGAAAGTCAGCGCGCCCACCTTGCCGTGCTCTGGTTAGATTTAAAGGGAGGAGAAAGGCCACCACCAATCATGCACCGGACCCTGAGCGGGTCTGAGTTTGATCAACCTAACCGGTGTGCAGCATGATGTAGCATCCTTGAACCCGGTAGAACCCATTGAGGCTCAGCCCAAAAGGACAAGCGATAAGGTGGCGTCAGATCCCTTCTAAGGCCACGACCGTCCACAGGGAATACTTGGACCGCGGCGATAGCGATAGCATCATGGGCGAAGTCCAGGCTGGGCTACATGTCAAAGGAAGTGAGGGAGGGAATGTTTCAGGGAACTACTGAGTGGTTGCCCAGTGTTCCAAACCATCCCAAAGGGTCAGATTTCTCGGGCATTCCCAAGAACTGAAGGCATAGAGCAGGTGCCGTTGACCCTACAGGTGTTACCTGCCCTTTGCAGCTGGAGGCTTGTGATCTCTTGATAACCTCTGGCTACCCATTGCCTTAGCCCTGTCTGGACATGTTATTATTTGTTTAAGGTAGAGTTGCTTCATTGGCCGGCTGCTGAGTTCAATTCGGTTTCCCCTTAAAAAGCACCCCGCAAAAAAAAAGAGGGACCCCTCAAACAATGCATGGCGCGTCTTTGCAACTTTGCGCCTGTCATCTTGGGCATTTGGGTTGAAATGCTTGTGTGTGTGTGTGCGTTTTGGCGCATGAGGCTTGGTCTGTATACGCCGTCTATTCGGGACATGAACTCCCAAAGTTTCAACCAACCGCTTATGGGCGTGTTGTTTTTCAGCGGCCTTTGCAGGTTGGTTTAAAGGGAAACCAACAGGACAAGACACACCCAATTTGTGAACAAGCTTACAGCACCGTCGTTCAGCTGCAGGATCGCATTCGCGAGATGGAAGCTCGCATGAACGCGTTGGAGGCGGATGAGAGCGTGCAGCTTGGACTTGAGAAGCCAAACCTGGAAATCGTCCCACCTCTCCGCAAGCGGAGCTGTACGTCGACATTTTTCCGGTTTAATGGAGCACCCCAAGTTGTGCGGCTTGGCCGGATTCCAAGCCAATTACTACATCACACAGAGCTGTGTCAAAAGCACGGGACCTCTTGTTTCAGGCGGTGCGACCGGCAAACCCACCACAGCATGTGCACTTTGTGCGAAAACTGAAATCCGTCCTGCATCCGGGGCAACGTGTTTGCGAGGATCCTGGCTTTCTCGTCTGTCATCAATTCCATCAATTTTCCGCGGAAACAACTGGGACGCACTCATCTGCCCGATGCGCAGATGTTGAGACGTTGATATACCTCAGCTGCGCGCGTTCCCCAGGATGTTGAGCCAGCTCACAGCCCACTCAGGCTGGGACGGTGTTGGCGCCAGCCGATGGTTAAGGCTTAGCCCCCAAGACTTACCGGCAGGACCTTTTGATGGCCTTCCGAGTCCGTTGGCTTTGGGGCAGAATAAAATGAGGTGTTTGTGAGAAGCATTTTCGTCCATCTTCCCAGCATCCTGATCGCGCAGATAGGTTTTTGGTGAAAACTTGGTTTAGTCAGTCTTTGTAGATGTGGGAACCAATCAAGAAAGGATGCATCGCGACTTCGTTTGGACGGGCGGCAAAGGAACTCAATAAGAAGGCAATCATTTAGAGGGATCTTATGTTGGAAACATATTTGGCTGGCTTTCGAAAATGAGCAGATGGCCTTTTCAGAGAGAGCAAACGATGGCCATGTTACCACTTGGTGTTCGATTCGCCAAGTTGGTAAGTTGCTGGTAACCTAGGCTACAGCCCACTTGCAAGTCCCCCCTTCAGTCGGGTTTACCTTGCTAATTATTGAAAGGTGAGAAAGCCAAATGGCTGACTTGCTCACTGGGCCGAACATCCAAGCACCACCAGCAAGCCCCAGCCATTGGAATAAGCCGTGGATCAGCTAGGTGTTAGATCGGAAAGAACTGGGTGCCCTATATGGCAACGAATCTTTAGGGAACCAACTGACAGGTGGGTGGTTGACATGGATCCCCATCTATATGATGTCCACCCAAAGGGTCCCCCATGAACATTCACAGCCACATTTGCTTGCTGATTTTGAACTCGATCTTGCCCTTGGGTGTGGTGTTTAAGGGGGAAAATATAACAAGACCTTGGGGAAGATTTGGGGATCACTCACAATTCATCAATCTGCGAACGGGTCCATCCCTGCTCTTACCCGTTCAATCTGACGCTGTGTAGCTGCTGGCAAAATCAGTCATAGAAAGCCAGTCAGCGAACTACTGAGAGCTTTGGCTTGGTCAGTGTGGACCTTGCAGATCATGAACGGTTGAGGGCAAGAGGCCTCTTGAATGCACTTATCGGTCTGTCCAGAATTCGAGTTGTGTTCATACTCCGGTGTTTGTTTGCCTGGCCGAGTTGCCGCATGCGGCATGTAGCGACGGACGATTTGACTGACCTCCGCCCCCCTCCTCCAATCCCAATAGGGGCGAACAGCGCAGAGGCCAGATCAGGCCTCAGAGGGTTTTCCTAAACAACCTCATAGGCTGGTGCTGCACGTTGTCGGTCTAGAGATATCTTCAAGAAAACTACTCCCAGGCGCCCATCGACCTAAATCCAACGGGGGTCCCCCAAAACAAATATTCTAAGGCGTTATGTTTTCCAGGTATGTGACATCCGGGTTCAAAAGGCCGAAACCGAAACTGCCCGAGGCCCATCCAAGCCCCAGCTTGGAGTTGAGCTTTCGCAATACCCGAGAGGTGCCACCGGGCGCTCTGGCTGGACCGGCGACAGCACCCGAGGCGCCAAGAACTGATCCTTTTTTCAGGAGGGGACAGTAGCCCAGTGCTTCCATGTTGTTTTTTTTGGTTGGGTCATATCGACTTTGGATTCGTCCGGACAGTGCTCACTGGTGGCTGCTTATCTTTGATTAAAAAAAGCAAAGATCTTGGAGGTTCCTCTGAGTAGGGTCCGAGAGAACCACCCTCTAAACCCCAAACCGGTTTGTCTTTTTTGGGGAGTACCCTTTCGTTGGTTCTTTTCGCGAGAGCCATCCTCACACGTCAGCTCAAGTAATTTGGGGGAGCGAAGCTCTATTTGGCGGGGGGGGGGCCACGTGGACCGCATATTTTGGGGTGGTCCCCTTTGATGAATCGGTAGCCCGCAATATGTTGGTGTGCGGGGGAAGGGCCATTGACGAACCAGCAATCTTTAGACCAGTTCGGAAGAGTCAAGCCATTCATTTCTTACAAACCGGGGACCATGTTTTCAGGGGGAAAATCATGTTTACAGGTCTTTTTGATAGACCAAACATAGAAGCGAACCATGATGTTGGGTATAGCTTCAGAGGGCCCATAGGTCCCCGCATGTTCTGTCCGTGCCGCAGGCGACGAGTTGAGGGCCAGGAAGAAGCGCTGCCGTAGAGTCTCTTGGAAGCATTGTGCAGCAGTATATTATATAGGTGTGGGTCAAGAATAGGTATCCAACATGAAACCCTGGTGAATGGAACCAAGGACCAAAACCTGCGGCCCCCTGGTGGTCTAATTTTGACCCTCATACCCATATATATAATACATGTTCTTCTCTTCTTTTGCAACATGTGAGGGGTGCTGCCAAGTTCGGTGCCCCCCTTTGTGTTGAAGGGGAAATCGTAAAGGCACCCACGTTTAAAGTTCTCGGGTGTCAGGATGTGTTGAATGAGAGTCCTATTGATAAGACTGGCTTAGCGTCATATGCTGCAGAGAACATGTTCGTTACAGCTGTTTGCTGCTTGTAGCAAGTTGACAAGGGCACTCTTGAAAGATGCTATGTGAATCACTTACTGTTGGTGCGCAGACCAGCTGCGACGTAGCCAAGCAGCCTGGTACTGGCACTCATTCGCATGGGTACACCGGGAATGGTCCCAACTAAGCTTTCGAGCTTCGGAAGGCAAATTATGTCAAGCAGCAACACGCACGAGTTAGAACAAGCTCACCAAGGGGGGAAGCAAGCTTACCCATGGCGATGGTTACTTTCTTGAGGATTCCTCATGTGTTGTTTGTGCGTTTAATGCCTGTGTAAATTACATTTGGGTATGCCTTTTTCGAGGGTGCCCTTTTTATGCGGGAACCGACGGAAAGCCATCACTGTCATCAAGAGGGTAACCTCTTCACCTTGATTTGAAGAGACAACCCAAACGAACGCCTTCCATTTCGAGGGGGGCTGGTTTGACACATCATTTGGATGTTAATCGGAATAGTGGCTCCCTAGTTGGTTTCCTGCTTTAACCAACCAAAAACAAGTTCACAATCCATTTTTTGAGAAGCCAGCGGGCCCCCTTTTTACGGAGTTCTGAGAGGTGCCGTTTCGGCCTGCTGTGATCATGACGGTGGCCCTGGGCGCGCTCTTGGCCTGCGTGCTGATGCAAACCCGGCCTGGGTTGGCTGTTTGCACACCCCTCCCCAGGTTTCCGGTGTTGGCCACAGTGTTTTGTTTTAAAGGGGGCCCCCCAAATGGGTGGTGTTTTTTGTTGGTGTCCCTTGAAACCACCCCCAAAAAGGCTACCATCAAAAAAGACACACCCACATGGCGGCTTCTTTCATGGGAAGACCATTCAGGTGTCTGCATGGCTTTTGTCGTCCGTGCCAACAGCTCCTGGTTTGCCCACTTGATCCCGTCCCAGTTGCCACGTTCCGCCCAGTACTTTTGATCCCAGTTGATCCATTTTGCATTTTTGGATGATGGTCCCTTGGTCACCTATCAGGGAAACGGAATCACTGGGATGGGGATCAAAACTCCAAGCAGTTGCCGAGGATGGGAGGGCAAGCTGCGCTCAGTGGGCGCAGATGTTTTTGGGTTCTTTTCACACTGTAAGAAGGTGAAGCTGAACTACGGGTACAGTAGACCCTTTCTCACCCCTTTTTTTGGGGGGGTTCCCCTACCAAAATAAACTACAGAAGAAAAAGGGTACCCTTATTCTAACCTCTCTACTGGAGGACGTAGTAGAATTCCGCATCCACCTGGTCCGGAGCGGAAGCCAAAGAGGAGTCGGTACCAATTGGGTCAATTGCAACATGCACTCGCTGTATTTGTGTTATAAGAACGGTTGATACAATCTGCCGATCTTACGGCGAGCTCACCGATCCAGGGCAAAAGAATATTTAATATTAATTTCAGTTTATAACCAGTGATCGGTTTGTGTTAAAACCAATGATTGGTGTACTGTAACAAGTAATTATTGTATGTGTGCGTTGCTATTTCTCTTCTAATCATCACTGGATCATTCTTCTCGGCGTCATTGATGTGATTATAAAATTCCGCACCAAGAAAGCCTTCGCCGTGGGCCATGGCCAGGTTCTTGCCACTCTTTGAGTTCACCACCCAGCTGCAGACCAAAACCGGAGAGCACCTTCACCAGCACTCGATTTCAGCGGTGTTGGGCGTATGATCGTTGGGTTGTTCGCGGAGTCCACCAACATGGTCCAGAAGAACGGTGTGTGGTCGGAACATTTGCAGGCTACCGAACTGTTGTTGCATCGTTTCCGACCGTCTCCCCCCCTCCCACCAAAAAAAACATGAGCAAAATCAACTGCTAGGTGTCAAGTAATGTCGACTTCATATTAGTAAACGGGTTCCCCCTCTCAACTGTTTTGTTTCTTTTCGGGCAAAGTACGGTAATAAAAAGCAATTGTACTTGTAGTATTGCTTCTAGTACTTGTAGTACTTGCAGTAGTAGCTGTAGTACTTGTAGTAGTCCTTGTAGTACTGCTTCTAGTACTTGTAGTACTTGTAGTAGTGGCTGTAGTAGTACTGCTTCTAGTACTTTTACTGCTTGTAGCAGTGGCTGTAGTACTTGTAGTTGTCCCCTCTCATAGTCCTTCCTAGGGGTCGCTTTGGGATGTTTATTAATGTGAACCCTTTTACTAATACGGGTTTGGGGGTCTTGTGTGGGGTACCACACGCTGGACTGTTGAGGGAGCACTTTTGTAAAAATATTTCATTTAAAAGCCGCACTTTCCGGGCATGTATTTGTTTGGAGATCTGAGGTCTGCTGGGGAGCCTTATAATTACCTTGGCTATCTTCTGCACGCTACCTGCTTACCTTTGAATCATTTTGAACTGGTTTGCTCCCTGATACAGAAAAAACTTGTTTGGCTCGCCCCCGCATTTCGGGGATTTTTATTAATGTGAGTTCTTGGGGTGGTTTATTAATGTTGTGCTTTGGAGGGGTCGACTTGGGGGGGCGGTGCTGTATGTTTGCAATTAACTTTTGAATTAGCCCCTTCTTAATTTAGCATTGGGTGAAAAAGCAGGTCCGGTGCCAATAATTTTATTAATACACGCCCATTTATCAAACTTAGGTTGACATTAAGAGTGGTGGTTGTTATATCGCTTCAGAGAATCACAATAATATGATGGACTCTTTTGCTGGACAGTTGCTCAGTAACATCAGTGTCCGCTCAAGAACTTGACACAAAGATGGATCATTGTTTGTATTCTCTACACACCCAAACACACGGTGGATTCCCTAATCAGTATTCCAGGTCCTCGCCAACCATGGGACTTGCCGGGCTTCCCTTGATACTTACTGGACACATTTTGGACATCAACCAAACCTCCAAGTCTCAGGAGCTATCAGCGGTCCATCGACCGGCAGTTTCAGCTGATCGAGGCGCTGACCGGGCACATGGCAGTGCAATTGCACCGCCCCTCGGTTTGCAGTGCGCGGCAAGGGCCGGGTGTGTTCGTATAGCCATTCTTACCCGAATCGTTTAGAAGCGAGGATGCCGTTTTGGCCTTTGCTACAGGGTCAAACATTCAACGTGACCATGTGACTATTTTCAGATACACATCAGGTAGGCGGCTCCCGGATTATGTGACTTAGCAGAGGCTCTTAAGAGGCTTACAGAAGGGGATTGGAGCTCAAGCTGAGCTATTCGCGAGACGGGCGTGAAGGAAGGGACAGTGCCTTGCAGTTGAAGTCTTTGAGGCTCTCAGGAGCTTGCTTGACCCTTCTCTTGCACCTGGTGCGATATCTGTTCCAAGAGTTCCGTCATGTCTGATGTGTTCATCCGGGAAACACCATGTTGAAAAGTTACCTGTGTGTGTGTGTGTGAGATCTGGCGCTGGCGTGGAAATGGCGTTGAGTACCCGCAACATCCCCAAGCTATTCCTGGGGATGTGCCCCTGTGAAAAGCAAAGGAGGCGTTCAACGTAACGCCTTTGCTGCCTGGTAGGTAGGTGTGCTGTTTAACCCGATGTTTCCGCTTTTTTATAAGGAAACGGAGAATGGCTGGTTACTATAGCGGTAGCTGGGATCTGGGTACTATCCAATGTCACTGGCGTGAAACGGCACCCAGCACTTCAGGCGCATGTATTTTCTTTTGCGACCTCCTCCAGAGTTTCTTTGCTTCAAAGGTTGAAGTTCACCCAGAGTGGTGGTATTTCGCTTTGGCCCTTGGACACACAGCAATACTCACATCTGCGCACAGGTCCTCACTTTGATCATGTGACTGTTTATTGACCTCAATCGTGTCTCGAGGCAATATCCTGGAGAGGATCAGCGGCATGCTGTGGGATACCGCTCCTCGATCTCGAGATTTCCGGCGCTAAAGTTGGGGACGCAGCAAGATCATGTCCTGGAATGGGTTGTGGAGCGTGACGTACCCACTTGCATAAGGGCACACTTCCTGAGTTCATGAACTTTGAACCTTTTGGGAAGACCATTTCAGTGGTAAATATAAAGTTTGGACTTTTTTTGGGCCATCCACTCGGCAAGTGAGAGGGGTAATTGCTGTTAGCATCCTCTAGCCCGCCTTCAAGGCCAAAGAGAGGGCTTCGAAGCCTCAAGACAGAGATGACACAGAGGTATGGGGAAAAAGTTCCCCAAAGGAGCCTTCCTTGCATACCAATTCTTGGGGTACAAGGGAAGTACTGTGTGGAGGTTGCCGCAACCCTCCCCCCACCTCACCCCATTTTCTCAGGGAGGGTGGCAGGGGGCGGGTATTCATGAGATCTTTGTTGGTCCCTTGGGCATTTTCAATGTGACGTGTGGGCGCAACTGTCTTATAAGGTTCAAACGTGCTTACTTGAAGATGAAAGCCGAGCGATCCCTCATTTCAAGTCGGTGCGTTGTAGTTGGGTCAAAGTTAAAACAACTAGGGGACTACAGGTTTTAGTCCTTATGTCCATTTACTCGTACCGGGGTTCCATTTTGAGTACCTAATTATGCGTGACCCCCCATTTGTGCAGCTGCTGGTGCCACAGGCTCACCATAGGTCACCACACATGTTCACTTGGTATGGTTGGACAATGATTGAATGGATGCAAAGCTGCAAACCATTTAGGATGCATTTGGGTGTTTCCCATGATAGACTGCCATTTAGGGGGCACTAGCAGACAGGCGGGCATTTGCGGGGGGTCTCTCAACTTTCTTGGGGATGGGGAAGTTGGAGAGGGCGTGTGATCTCATTAATATTATGACATTTGGTGAAGGGGTCATGCCCAACCACAGAGATATCCACCCAGTGTGATTCTCGACATTGTTCTTAGGTAGTTATATTCCTTGAGGCCCATTGTTGGTTCTGAATCAAATGAGCTCCAGCCGTCAAAACGTTATAGGTCAGCATTGGACGTTAACTTCTTGAACATAATCAGCGGAGTTTCCATTGGACCCGCAAAAAGTCGAACTTTTTGCAGAGGGTTCAACAGCAACCACTATGGACATGGTTCAAAGCCAATGGTACCATGGGATAGGTGAATTCACCACCCACATAACGGGGTTTTGACTCCAAACGCCTCCAAAGCACCAGGCTCCCAACCCGGGAAGCTGAGCCCAAGGTCTTGGAGCCGCCAAATCGCGCCATCGACGCGATGTGGGGCACCATGCGCCTCGGCTTCGACTTAATTTTTGGCCGTTTCGGTGTGTCGGTCCATGGGCAGTTTTAGGTATGGGTTTTGGAGGTATGGGGGTTGTACACCACTTGTGTAAGTTATGTAAGGAGTATATACTACCTGATGAGCTTATGTTGGTGGTATATAACCATCCTTACCTCCAAAACCATACCTGAAAATGCTCTTGAGTCGAGGGTGTTCCGTGTTTTAACGGGAAGCCAAACGGAAACCATCTAATTCGTTTGTAGAGACCCCGGTTGACGAGGGCCCCGCTTGTCCCACCCTTTGTTTTTTTTCGTCTGCCCCTAAAACCGAGAGGGAAGTCAAAAATGGGGTCACAAAATAGGTTGGGGGTCGGAAAAAAACAGCTGTGACATTTTGCGGTTGTCAGTGGATCAACATTGGCCCAGCAAATGATGTTTGCACAAGCCTTGACAGGAACATATGCGTACAAACTTTAGTTGGGGACCCTTTGGCATAGCATCATGGGAATTTCTGTCCCCCAAAACATTCGTGCGGACATCAAAGACCATCTAGTGCACTCCATTTGGCCGAAGGCTTTACTCCCCAGCAACTGGGACCTGACACATGCCAAATTTGCGGATTGCCAAGGCAGACAATGCATGCCTTCGATCCTTCGTGGAATGGCACCACTGCAGCTCGGTCAGTGCCTTTGGATTCCTAGGCTTTCCCACGGCGTTTCTGTGTGCGTGCGCGCGTGTTGTGAATGTATGTGTTGTTTGCTTGTTCGTTTGTTTGTTCGTTTGTTTCTTCGTTTGTTGTTCGTTTTTTTGTGTGTTTTTGTTGTTGATTGGTTTTGATGGATTTGATTGACTTGATTTGTTGGATTGCTTGATTAGAATGATTGGACTGATTGGGTTGGTTGGATTCATTAGATTGAGTGGATTGATTCGGTTGTTTGGGTTGATTGCTTGATTGCTTGATTGATTGATTTGATTGATTTGATTTGATTGATTGGATTGATTGATTGATTGATTGATTGATTTGATTTGATTTGATTTGATTTGATTTGATTTGATTGGATTGGATTTGATTGGATTGGATTGGATTGATCGATTGATTGGTTGGTTGGTTGGTTGATTGATTGACTGATTGATTGCTTGCTTGCTTGATTGACTCATTGATTGATTGATTGGATTGGAAGGGAATGGATTGCATTGGATTGGTTGGTTGGTTGGTTGTTGTAAGTGAGTGCATTGTGGATATGTGGGGGGTTGTGCCCCTTAAACTTATTCTCATCTGAAGATTGGATGGATGGATGGATGGATGGATGGACGGCTGGACGGCTGGACGGATGGACGGATGGATGGATGGATGGACGGATGCATGGATAGGTAGATGCATGGATGCATGGATACATGATTCATGGATGCAGACATGGATGGATGGATGGATGGATGGACGGACGGACGGACGGACGGACGGATGCATGGATACGTGGATGCATGGATACGTGGATGCATGGATGCACGGATGGGTGGATGGATGGACGGATGGACGTCGATGCATGAATGCACGGATGGGTGGATGGACGGATGGACGGATGGACGGATGGATGGACGGATGGATGCATGGATGCATGGATGCATGGATGCATGGATGCATGGATGTATGGATGCATGGATACATGGATGGACAGCCTTGTTTGTTCATTGTTTCTGCCTCTGGGACAACCGGCGACGTAATTCTTGATTGGCGTTGGGCGAAGCGCGTCGCTTGAGATAACCTTTGCGCCCTCACGACCCGTACTTGGTTTTTTTTGCCTGTTGTATGGGGGCTTGTTGTGTGCACCCTGCTTGTAAGCCACTTGGCCGCATGTTCAGGCAACGCAACGAGCTGCCATATCCCATCGAGCTCTGCTGGAGTTGAAGGAACAGTGCCCTGGCGAAAGGCCGCCGATTTGGACAGCCATCATCGAGCTCGACAAAAGCGAGGTTTTGGGTGTATATACTGCTTTCCCAGTGATTTGGTTTCCCTTGGCAACCAAGGGAACCACCCTTTGAGAAACATGGACAATGGAACTGGGATTCACTAAAGTTTAGTGGGGTACCTTCTCATGGTGGACATAAATACCCTTTTAAAATACCCATAGTGCTGTCCACCAAAGGGTCAACTGAGAATAATACAGTTCTTTGACCTGATGGCAGAGAGAGGCAGGGAGAAGTTGCACTGTTCCATGTTGGCAAATTGCTGGGAAGTAGCAGTGGCAAGCCAAGCCCCTCCTTGTCGAAGTTGGGTTGGAGGCGGGTGTGTGTGTGTGTGAGCCCCTTTGAGCTGCGCTGACGCTGAAACAAACGTAAACTACTGATACAACATTGAAGGTGGACCAATCACGCAGGCATGCAACTTTGATGAGGCATTGCCAGATTGACAGAAGTCGTGAAAGACTGGTTGACACTCACTCACATCAAAGATATGGACATACCACGTCCTGAAATACCGCAAATTGCCTCGGTGAGAGAAGTGGATTTGTCCTCAAACACAGCAACCCAGCTATGGACAACAGCCAACTCACTATAGCTTGATCCAACTGCCAGGCGCCGAAGAGACTCTTTTCTGGATTCCGCTGCAACCCAAGCTCCTTCCAACCTAGAACCTGTGGACCCAAGGCTTGGACATCACGAGGAGTTCTGGCGCGTCCTTTTGTATACTCTCTTGGGCTTCAACCAAAAAGGGGAACCATTTCTGACGGTACTTTGGGCTTGTGTCAAGCAAAAACTTCCATGTTGTGTTTTCGGTGCGCTAGATAGGCACAGATCGACCCCTCGGCTGTTCTGAGGCAGTCTCCAGAGTGCTTCTGGTCCAGCAGCTCGGCGCAGATTTCCGCTTCCCGGTTTCATGCCTACAGTAAGTTACCCGGGGTTTGAGTCTGCTTGGCTGTGATAACTTTGTGGGGGTGCTGGTGCCTACGTAAACTTTGGTGAGTATCTTGGTACCAGAAGTCAATGGGTTTGGCTCATGTGCATGCCTTCAGAGTAGGATGAGAACGCGAGACTGCTGAGCTGGGGTAAAGCTTAGGGGTTTGTTGATGCTCACATTGTGAATCATAGTGTTTTGCAGGTGAGAGGTGGTGGTTGGGCTGCGTCCACAGGTTCCCTTAAGTCACTTTGATTGGTGGAAATTCGATGGATCCTAATGCTGCCAGTTTGGTTGCGCGTAAAACATTTTGCCAGTGCCCTCTATTTTTCAGAAAGGACACCCAGGGTGGGTTCCCTCGCAATCCGTACTATTCCCTAAGACGGTGACTTGCTTTGCCATTGGGTTGGGTCTTTAGACTTGTTCGGATCATGTGGGTTGTCCCACTGAACCCTAAACCCCTTAAAGCAAGCAAGCAAGCAAGCAAGCAAGCAAGCAAGCAAGCAAGCAAGCAAGCAAGCAAGCAAGCAAGCAAGGAGTCGACATACGCATTTGCGCGGGGTAATATATTTACCATGATGTTCAAGTTTTTTGGCAAAAGCCCAAAAGCCCTGCGTCTCCAATGTTTCGCTTTTCGCTCGCTCCCGAGGAAGCGGTGCGGCTGACTTCATCTACGTGGGTTTTGAGAGCCCGGCGCTTAGGACTGCGATCGGAGTCTGCGATCGGAGGGGGTTGTGTCCAGGTCATCCCCAAAAAAAGGGCCATTGGTTTCCTTTCAGGGAGACACCTAGGTTCATTCCAACTCATTCCCTACTTATCCTAGGTCCCCCAGTAGTGCCCTTTCTCACCCGTTTCTTTTTTGGGGGCCGGGTTCCAACCTAATAAAATAGACTACAGAAACAAGTTGAAAAAGGGTACCAACTTATTCTAACCTCTCAAATCTGGAGGACCTAGGTGTTGACTGTGTTTGGGGGTGATCAACATCATGAACTGGGGGTGTCCCTTTGACCTACCACTTCAAAATTGACTTTGATGGTTGTAAAGTAGAGTCAGGCAATTGGCGGCAAATCATAGCCACCCTCACTTGCATCAACCCACCTCATTCAGGAGTGGCTTCTTTTAAGAAGATTCCACCATGGTAGTGTCATGGCTTTTTCAAGAGATTTCAAGCAGTGCTTCGGGGTAAATCTAGCGACCCCCGGCGACCCCTGAGACAGAACCTGAACGATTATTCTCTTCAAAGGATGTTCGCCTACACTTCAACTGTGTTCAGTGGCCCATATTAACCTTTGTGAGTGTGATCACGATATCCAGCCATGAATGACAGGGATTCCCAGTTTTCACGCATTACGGAAGGGAATGCAGAATTATGCTATCTTTTCCTACCTTGTCTTGATTTGTTTTGCGTCGCTTTGCTGCAGCTCAGGCGGCGAATTTGCCGGCTCGACCTATAGATGTGTCGACCGCAACTGCTCTGATGTGGCGGCTTTGCCTGAGAGATTAGCGCGGGTGATCGTTGCCACAACTAAACCATTACTGGTTAATGTCCCCACGAACATCTATTTAGCGGTTACTGCGGGCAACAGTTGAATCAAAAACCCGCCCTCGCACAATCTGAGGGGAGTTGGATGTATTATATGGGAAAAACGGAAAGCCACCAAGACCAATTCAGGGTCAGAGAAGCACCTGTACTTCTCAACGTGGCCGTGCATCAGATGCATCGGGATCTGTGGTCATGTACTATTGTGTGTTGCGTTTCTTGTTTCTGACACTAATTCACCATGTAAATGGCGACATGTTCCGATCTAGGTGTCACGTAGCTATGTTTGTCATGAACCCCGGAATCTTTAGCCTCCTTTTCTTTCCGCTCCCACCCAAAAGCAACCCCCCAAAGAAACAAGCAAAGGGGCTACCTTGCGATTGGCACAATGTGTTCCGCAAAGTGTGTGCCAGCCACACTGGGCCCAAACTCAGTGGCAAGAGTACTAGCAGCAGGTGAGTTTCGCTCTGATGTGTCTCAGCCGGAGAAAGCTCGTGATTTGTTTGTCGCTTGAATCACGTACAATATCGACGGCATTCATTCAGAGACATCCCCCCAGAGGAAATCAGCAAGCGAATAGACATCCACCAAAGCGACACGACAGACAAAACGGCCAAGCAGCTAACCAACTCGACGGGAAAGCATTAACACAGCACATCACAGCGCCGCACTGCACGGCATGCGATGCCGCGCCACACCACAAGCCACGAGGCAAAAACGCCACGGCAGAACACAGCACTGCACAAAGGAAGTCAACACAACACAACACACCTCGAGGCAACGCCGCGGCCACAGCCAAACAGCTACACGACACACTGAACACACACACACACACACAAAATAGTAATAAAAGCAGGCACGCACAAAGATAATGCAGGCGAACACAACATAGCAGCATACACAACTAGCAACTGGCCCAAAAAGCAAAGGATGTTTTTCGGACAGGAATCCCTGCGTAAATGATGCCCACCACAGGGTTCCTGACTGAGAGTTCATAGTGAACTAGCTTTTTTCCAAGCAATCCTGGGAGTGGGCAGGACTCCTGGTCAAGAGGATGGTCTTCCAAACGCCTCTGCCCGCCTTGAAAAGAGGGTCGCACCAAACCACCCGCCGCCGATTTGCCTCTCGGCCAAAGCACGGCTCCAAGGCGGCGAGTTGGTGGGACTGCGAAGGCTCCCCGGAGGTGGAGCAACGCTTCCGGGAGATGAACGTCACACACTGGGACCCGAAATCGCCGAAATCGGGGGCGGGGAGGTGGTCCAATGGTGTGCAGGGGGGGTGTTTTCGTGTAAAATGTCCGCAGCCGCCGCCACAACAACAACTGCTGCTGCCGCTACCACGAATTATCCCACTATCCAAAGGGGTTCCCTAGTTCGACGACATGATGGGAGTCCAGGATCAATCAACCCCTGGTCGATTGGGCCTCAAACAAATTTGGAGGTGGATCCCTCACTGGGGGGGGTCCTTTTGGTTGTTTCCTTGTTGTTTCCTTAGCGAGGGCTCAACTTGTCAGAGCAAACCTGGGTAGATGAAGGCTAGATGGTGCGGCAATCTTTGTTTGTTTTGAGTGGACTGGTTTGCCAAGTCATGACTCAAGTGAGAGTATCTTGCAAGGGCAAGTCCTTGGATGGAGGTAAATCCATTGAATCCAACATGAACCAGCCGGGTCATGGGTCTTTCAAGGAGTCCTATGGTTTCAAAAGTATCCCAACCAGGAACAACTGACATAGTGAAACAGAAATCCGTGCATGTCACACAAGCTGTTGGGTGGTTCAAAGATCTGCTCGCCAATGTTGATTGAGCTCGTGGTCTCCTTTTGATATTCATTTGGATCGGGGACGTACCAACCGCTGTCAACTGAGTGTGTCTCTTTTTTGGGGCCCCCCTTTTGGGGATTGGTTCTGGGAACCCACATCGGCCAATGGATCGAGCTTGCCTTATCTTAGGCGACACCCCCCCAAACATGGTGGTAGTCCTTTTAGTTTCCCTCCAAGCCAAACCAACCGACGGTTCCCCCCCCCCCCCAATCAAATAACAACAAGATAAAACAGAAAGCAGACAAAAAGACATACCCAGCGCCTGCAATACCCAACCAGCAGACAGTGCGACAGTGCCCCCGCAAAAATATGTTCTTCCCCCCCCCCCCTCCCACGCATACCACCCCGCCAGCTGCCAAGTGCCCCCGCAAAAAGTCTTACCCGCCACCCCTTCCCATGATACCCTGCCAGGACCCGAACTGCGGAGAGAGCTTCCCCACGCAGCGGCCCTGGTTCAAACTGCAGTCTGCCATGGCGGAGCTCGGGGGGCCTTTGAAGCGCCTGCTCCTCGGCCGCGCATTGAGCCGTGCGAGCCATGCGAGGAGGGTGTGGCTCAAGAATTAAAGAGTCTAGGGTTGCGCAGGTTTTTGTCTTTGGTTCCATTTGCCAAGGGTGCCATTTTGGTACATGCTTTTGAGCCACAGCCAGGAGATCTCGGAGAGAGAGCGACAGGTTGATCGAGCATCCCTGTTGACAAGTCGATCTTACCTTAATATGGGTGTGGCTCAAAATGAAAGAGCTAGGGGGAAAGCAGCTTTTGGTCTTGGGTTCCATTTACCAAGCTGTCATGTTGGTACATTTTGTTAGCCACAGCCATATGGGTATGCCATTCGTTGAAGGTAGACGTCTCGAGGTTTTTGAGAAGAAGAGACAAAGGGAAAGCATGGAAGCCTTTCAGGACAGATTGGAAGCCAAATGGGTGGCCCAAATTATTGGGCTTCCCCGCAGTGCGGGTCTTGGTTGTCCAGAACTTGCGGCTTTTTGTACCAAGCCGCCGCATGCTTTTGGTTGGGTTGGACATCTGGGGTTTACTAGATTTATAGCCCTTGAGTTTAGAAAAACCCGCCCCCCCCCCCTCCAATATCACGAAAGAAAACAAATGGGTGGCTTGGCCTGTTGGTGTACCTTTTAAAACCGCAAACAGGTGGCACCCTCGCAAAAGGATAGATGCACCCCACTACTCATGGCCAAAGCATTGGGCGATTCGATCGCAATGTTTTTCATCGCTGGCTTTGGATGGCCCTGAGCTGGGAGGTTGCAGAGATCCGGGGCTGGGGATCCTGCTTGGCTGTTCCCCGCTGAACGCTATGGGCTCTCTGCGCAGATCAGCGTTTTCGGGGTGGTTTGGTGCAGCTTTCAGGGAGGGGTTCCGGAGCTGTAGATATCACTTGGGCGTATGCACGGCAAAGAACGTGGCTTTTTAAAGATCGCCACTTTGGGAAGGCCGAATTTCACATGATTCTCGTCGGAACTTGGAGGGGTCTTGGTCTCAAGAGTACTGGGTGTGGTTTCGAACTTCCATTTTGGAATGATTTCGAGAATGTCAAGGCAATGAACTTAGGCACACGTAATATCCAGGGTTGCCTGTGCTTCCCCTTAAAAAAGAGAGATATCGTTTGAAAGATCGCCTGCCTTGGTGTTGTGTAGAAGGGAAACCACCGGACACCCCTCAAGCCAGCAGGTTCATCTTCGTGACACCGACATATGCTTTGACATGTTGCAGTGGCGCGTATATGATAATATTCCAGGATATGCAGGAAAGCTGTTCAGACAGGTTTTCCAATCTGTTATTCAGGTTGATCGAGAATCCCTGTTGACAAGTCTTACCAATATGGATATGTCCTTCGTTGAAAGTAGCCCTCTCGGGGTTGATTAGAAGCGGAACCAAAGGGAAACAACTATTCATCGTGGGTCTTGGATTTTGAGACACTTCAAACTAAGATGCTCACCGTTCAGGCATGGCTTGTTTGGGTTCGTTTTTGTTGGCTATTTGTAGGGTGAGACAGTGTTTCAAATACTGACGATCTGTAGGGACGAGGTAGACAATCCTGCCTCAGATATGAATTGTCTGGATTTGTTGTGAGCCTGGGTCAGATCTGTGGATGTGCAGTGAAACGGGTGTAAACTAGCGTGTCCAATATTTTGGGACATGACAGAAAGACCAGACCGCTCCGCACGTGTGGGCAAAGATGCCATCTCAATGGAGGCAACCAGTTAAGTTGTTAAGTGCGTTCTCCGCAGTCGGACTCATTGGGTGGGTACCACCTTTTGTGTGGTTTCGGACACTAAAAAGCATCACCATTTTTTGTTGTTGGGGGGTCCACTAAACAATGTCGTTACGCTGGTATTGATTCAGGCTTAATCACTCGTGGATGTCAGCTTTCAGCCCTTGCCAACAACCCTGTGGGCCTTGTCTTGAACCCTCCAAAATCAGCATCGACTCCTGAAACCCCTCATTTGTGGTGCATCCCTTGCAAGACCCCTCAGATTCTGTATTAGTTCTCGGATTGACTTAGGTGGTCGGGACTCTACCTCTTCGTGGATGGCAACATCGGCTTCACCAAAACTAGCCCTGTGGCCTACTGTGGGGACTACTCTTGCTTTCAGGCGCACGGAATGGGGCGAATCATTCTGGTAGAGAGCCCTAGTTGGCCCCAGCGACAGGACCCGCTCTCGCTATGGCCCGGAATGATGGGCGGCCGGAGATTTGCAGTGGAAAATTGGGGCTGAGAAGTGTGGGGGCCAAGATAAACTGGTCACTTGGGCCACTTTCCTGCAGCAAGCGTGATTTCCACATCCATTCTTTGGGCACGAGTTGGATCGAGCTCAACCAAGATTGGTGAGTTGGAGTTGGGGGATATTCGGAGCTGGAGTTGGCCAGGCATTTGTCATTATTGTTCAATGTGGCGTGAATGCAATGCAGATCCCAGGAATTCGCGGCCATCTCATACAGCAGGCTGCAAATGGCAGTGGGTCAAAAATGTGTCTTCAAAATGAACCCTGGTAAACGGACACATGGATTAAACCTGTGGTCCCATGGTGGTTTAACTTTGACCCACAGCCAAATATTCGCGTGCTTTTGCCGGATTCCATTTCACTGCTGCCCAGTGCTCAGCCCATGGCACCCCTGCGCCCCTGTCGCCTGAGAAGTTCAGATGCCCTGTGCCAGACTTGTTCCCTTTGTGTTGGTGGCATTTGCCTGCATGCGTCGCAGCTAACATGGCATAACGATGCATCTCTGTGTAAATAGAAATATATATATATATATATTATTGGTAGCAGTTTCATGATATAATGGGGACGTTTTATGGGAATGGATGCCTTTTGAAGAACACCCAAACAAGAAGCCCATCCAGGAAAAGCGCAAAACACAACTATGCGCAGGGAGTGGTCAGCGCCGACATCACGCTGCCCGTGGTCAGCCGAGGCTGCAGCGAGGCGATTTGGGCTGTTGGTTGATATGCCGAAGGGTTTCAGCTGGGCCTTTGGTGATACATTGAAAATTTGGGTTATGTACCAGCGACATGGGGTTTGTTGGGTTTATGCTGTAACCCAATTTGTAACCAAACAGAGGTGGCCAAGAGCACCCACGCACGCTTTCGGGTTTGGCGCGGAGTTTCTCATATCCAAATCCACAAGTACGATGTGCTTGTAGCCTCTAGGTATTGAGGTTCGGTCATTCCGGTCATGAGAGACTCACCAAACTTTCCAGAATCGCCAGAGGCCTTGAATTCGGAGTGGCTCGAATGATTGCAGCGGGTTGCTTCGGACTCGTGAAACCTTTATGCTATCGTCAAAAGGGACCCCCTGCAAGGAGTATGTTTTAAGCGCTGGGGTCCGGGCTCACATTGGCAGACCTCAAGAATCAGGGGCCCAGGAAGTGAGCGATCAGAGCCACGGGCAACACGGGATCAAAAAGGCTGGTGTTGAATAGGCCGTTTGATTGAGGTGATTCCAATTGTCCCTTGTGGTCTCTGAGGGAAATGGCCAAGGGCAAATGTACATGTTTCCGAGGCACTTGAATGCAACTGGAGGTCGGGACGTTCTTGAGCAAGGGCTTCACTGACCACGGTGCGGACATCCCCCGAATGCAAAGAATCACAACTTCGGCCATGACACTGCGCTGTTAGACATCATGCTTGGCATTTGCTGCCTTGAAGTGAGTTCGGCGCACAACGACTCTTTCTCCCTACTGTCCCAGGTATTCCAGAGAAACGATTGGTTTTGGCAGTTCTCAGCCATACTCTTAGACTTTTGGCTTTTTTGGAGTTCGGGATATCCCAGCAAGAGCTTCGCTTCTGGCAAGGGGTCAACGAGACGCTGAGCGTTCTGGCTCAGACTATCGCGCGATCCAGGGCATGTATGCCACCTCATGAGGGCTCCGTTGGGCGGAACTCTGTCAGAATCAGAAGCAACCCAGATAATTACCTGGTCGGACCACCCAAACCCCCCAAACCCTTCAAGCCCCCCGACTCCAATTCCCCCCAACCTTGACACCCGCTTTGGTCAGCCACGTCACGTCAGCCACCCATCTCCCAAGAAGCCTTCGGGCCTCGGAGGCCTTTGATCGCCTGAAGAAGGAGCTGAATGCCACAGCCTACAGCTTCCCCATCAACCGCAGAGCCTCGGAGATCCACTTTCGCTTTCGGGCCCGGAATCCGACTGAAGAACCAGCTGAAAAAAAGGCGTTTCCATGGCGTGTGGTTGCGCTGAGAAATATATATTCTGTTTTTTTTTCCACTTCTGGGGCCAGGTTCCTTTGCGAGAGAAAGATTCGCCTCAAGGGAGCCAAGCGCCACCATACGGGTTTGTGTGAAATTAAGGGGCCCTCTTTAAGGGTTGTCGTCTTTTATTTTCCTATCTTGGAACCATTTTCGCCTTACGGGTTGCCATTGCAACCTTCACTCATCCTGGTTGGACTTGGCATGTTGACAATTAGTCCGGGACAAATTCACCGCCTGGAAATCCAAAAAAGGGCTTCCGCAGTGTTCTCCTCCTCTCCGTCTCTCTGTATATGTATGTGATATATTAATGGCGTTTTCGGTTCCATGTCAATCTTCAGGAGGGTATACCTGCGAGTGAAGCACACCATGCATGTCACCACACGGCCCTCCACTCGAATTTAGCACTCCGGGCACCATGAGCACGACCGGGAGTTGGCTCCCGCTTTGGTGGGTCCCGCACTGGTCAACCCCCAAAACAACATGGGGGATGCCCCTTTTGGTTGGTATTTAGATTAAAGAAAAATCAACCGGAAACCACAATTTCAAGGGAGTACTATGTTGAGAAACGCCAACACGGGTTCGTGAAGTCTTCGATAGGGCTCAAATCCAGCGCTCTGGCAATCCACCAGGTTGAATCATCAGATGAGGGCGCCACATTATGAGTGCGGTCGATCCGAAGTTCTGGAAAACGCAAGCAGCACAGAATGGGGTCCCCTTAGAAGTTGGCTGTGCGACACCTTGGGATTTCAAAAGGCGCCAAGGAAGAGGCGTCGCTTGCCGCAGTGGTGCTAGTTCCTTTATATGCTTCATGTCGGTTGACATCAGGCCTTTTGTGTATGCTTTAGCCAATCTTTTACTTGCGAAGTCTCTCTGACAGCCTTACACGATGCCAAGGCAACGCCGCAGTCTTCGTGGTGAGCCATGTCAGTCGAGGCCAGGGGAGAGGATTGTGGCAAACACCTTTGTGTTCAGAAAGGTCCCCGTACCGTTCTTGGCATCTAGTTGTTGATGTGTTTCCTGTGTTTGGTTCCATTTATTAGTTGGTTAAGGGCTGAAAAGTGCAAAGTGTCACGTTGTTTGTTGCTTTTGTTTTGACATGTCTGACATACCAGGTGTTTGAAGGATTCCGAAATAGTAGCTCTCATTTGATCAACCTCCACATCTTGAATGGGTGCCAACTCGTGCTCAATGGCATCCAGTTCTCAGTTGTATCAGTTGTCCTGTGGGTTCCAGCCGTTGTTCTTTGAAGTGTTTTGTTCCCTTAGCATCAACCCGCAGAGGGGCATTCCTATGCACTGCACGATACTTTGAGTTGCTGTTTATGCCACCAAGTGAACACCTCTCCCACAGTTTTCGGGTAGGGGTGATCTTCGCACACTTGCTGTTGAAGGTCACCGCTCCACACACACACACAGACAGACACACAGACACACATACACACATGTACACACATGCGCACACACACACACACACTGCCGCTTTTGAGCTTGTGGCCGCTTTTCCTTTATGTCCACACACGTTCCCTAGATGTTCCTTTCACGCGCTGTGCTCGGGGTGTTTGCGTTTTGATGGCTTCATTGTGGCTTGGTTTTGCAATCCCTGTAGAGTTCATACACTCCCCATGTTTCAGCAGGATCAACACATTGCACAGCACCCATCAATATGTGTTGTCGTCTACCGTAATTAGGAAAGTGGATGACATTGGATACACTCACCAAAATACATTTGTCTAGTGCGGGGAACTTACCAGAGTCCCATGTCATTGGGAGAGACAATGCATATACTGTAGCTCACAGGGGGTTGGCCCTTTTTGAGCGTGAACAGTAGGGACAAATTCCTCAGGGTTTCAACCCGCTATGCCGCTAAGGGGATTGCGCTCTCTTCATTTACACCCTTGTGTAAATGGCCCGCTGAGGTCACATCCTCTTGTGCTCTTTAGTACAACCTTGTTCACCTTTTCGCATTTGCAAAAATAGCGGTGGGTCAACACCAATGGGATTTTATTTTGGGGTAGGTGAATTCACCACCCATTTTAGAACCTATTTTAGTGGGGATTGGGATGTGCACTGGGGGCGATTTGGATTTTGACCCATGGCCAAATGGGTGCGCCGCGCAACGGCTGCTTTTTCCCATGTCTGAAGCCCCAAGTGCCGCCCACTAAGCAGTTGGGTGCTGGTACTGTCCATAAAAGGGTTTGTCTCAAAAGGGACCTCTGGCAGCCATGTTGTTTATATTTAAAACAACCTTATAGGGGATTTGTTCCCATCGTTCATAGGCTTTCATCCATCGCAACTGGCGCAAAACGGATTTCGTCCATCCGCAGCATGGGTCTTTGTTGGGCGGACCCCTTCCAAAAAAAACATGTGTTCCTCTCAGTCTGTTTTTTACAGCCCCAAAAAAAGAGTACCCCAAGAATTCCACCGCGCCGCGCCTCTATGGGGCGTGTCTTTTTCCTTCAGGGACCGTCCCAGGCGGGCAGGAGGGGCTGCTGGTGGGCAGCTCGGGCTCCAACAGCCGCGACATCGTGCTGGCCTCCGAGTCCCCCGAGGCCCGGAGCCACGGGACGACCTGGCGGGTACCGGACATCCGTGTCGCGCAGCACGAAATGAGACCATGGGTTGAAGCGGTTGGTTGTTTGGCAGTGGGGAATCAAATCATTCCAGGGATTGGTGGACCATGGTTGAAACCATTTTGGCATTTTGGCATTTGCGCTTGGGAATGGAATCATTCCAGGCATTGGTTGAGACCATGGGTTGTTGGACACCATTGGTTGGCATTTACGCTTGGGAATGGAATCATTCCAGGCATTGGTTGAGACCATGGGTTGTTGGACACCATTGGTTGGCATTTACGCTTGGGAATGGAATCATTCCAGGCATTGGTTTGGCATTTACGCTTGGGAATGGAATCATTCCAGGCATTGGTTGAGACCATGGGTTGTTGGACACCATTGGTTGGCATTTACGCTTGGGAATGGAATCATTCCAGGCATTGGTTGAGACCATGGGTTGTTGGACACCATTGGTTGGCATTTACGCTTGGGAATGGAATCATTCCAGGCATTGGTTGAGACCATGGGTTGTTGGACACCATTGGTTGGCATTTACGCTTGGGAATGGAATCATTCCAGGCATTGGTTGAGACCATGGGTTGTTGGACACCATTGGTTGGCATTTACGCTTGGGAATGGAATCATTCCAGGCATTGGTTGAGACCATGGGTTGTTGGAAACCATTGGTTGGCATTTACGCTTGGGAATGGAATCATTCCAGGCATTGGTTGAGACCATGGGTTGTTGGAAACCATTGGTTGGCATTTACGCTTGGGAATGGAATGATTCCAGGCATTGGTTGAGACCATGGGTTGTTGGAAACCATTGGTTGGCATTTACGCTTGGGAATGGAATGATTCCAGGCATTGGTTGAGACCATGGGTTGTTGGAAACCATTGGTTGGCATTTACGCTTGGGAATGGAATGATTCCAGGCATTGGTTGAGACCATGGGTTGTTGGAAACCATTGGTAGGTATTTACGCTTGGGAATGGAATGATTCCAGGCATTGGTTGAGACCATGGGTTGTTGGAAACCATTGGTTGGCATTTACGCTTGGGAATGGAATGATTCCAGGGATTGGTTGAGACCATGGGTTGTTGGAAACCATTGGTTGGCATTTACGCTTGGGAATGGAATCATTCCAGGCATTGGTTGAGACCATGGGTTGTTGGAAACCATTGGTTGGCATTTACGCTTGGGAATGGAATGATTCCAGGCATTAGTTGAGACCATGGGTTGTTGGAAACCATTGGTTGGCATTTACGCTTGGGAATGGAATCATTCCAGGCATTGGTTGAGACCATGGGTTGTTGGACACCATTGGTTGGCATTTACGCTTGGGAATGGAATCATTCCAGGCATTGGTTGAGACCATGGGTTGTTGGAAACCATTGGTTGGCATTTACGCTTGGGAATGGAATCATTCCAGGCAACCAGGCATTGGTTGGCATTTACGCTTGGGAATGGAATGATTCCAGGCATTGGTTGAGGGTTGTTGGAAACCATTGGTTGGCATTTACGCTTGGGAATGGAATCATTCCAGGCATTGGTTGAGACCATGGGTTGTTGGAAACCATTGGTTGGCATTTACGCTTGGGAATGGAATGATTCCAGGCATTGGTTGAGACCATGGGTTGTTGGAAACCATTGGTTGGCATTTACGCTTGGGAATGGAATCATTCCAGGCATTGGTTGAGACCATGGGTTGTTGGAAACCATTGGTTGGCATTTACGCTTGGGAATGGAATCATTCCAGGCATTGGTTGAGACCATGGGTTGTTGGAAACCATTGGTTGGCATTTACGCTTGGGAATGGAATCATTCCAGGCATTGGTTGAGACCATGGGTTGTTGGAAACCATTGGTTGGCATTTACGCTTGGGAATGGAATCATTCCAGGCATTGGTTGAGACCATGGGTTGTTGGAAACCATTGGTTGGCATTTACGCTTGGGAATGGAATCATTCCAGGCATTGGTTGAGACCATGGGTTGTTGGAAACCATTGGTTGGCATTTACGCTTGGGAATGGAATCATTCCAGGCATTGGTTGAGACCATGGGTTGTTGGAAACCATTGGTTGGCATTTACGCTTGGGAATGGAATCATTCCAGGCATTGGTTGAGACCATGGGTTGTTGGAAACCATTGGTTGGCATTTACGCTTGGGAATGGAATCATTCCAGGCATTGGTTGAGACCATGGGTTGTTGGAAACCATTGGTTGGCATTTACTTGGGAATGGTTCATTCCAGGCATTGGCATTTACGCACAGGCATTGGTTGGGTTGTTGGAAACCATTGGTTGGCATTTACGCTTGGGAGTGGAATCATTCCAGGCATTGGTTGAGACCATGGGTTGTTGGAAACCATTGGTTGGCATTTACGCTTGGGAATGGAATCATTCCAGGCATTGGTTGAGACTATGGGTTGTTGGAAACCATTGGTTGGCATTTAGGCTTGGGAATGGAATCATTTCAGGCATTGGTTGAGACCATGGGTTGTTGGAAACCATTGGTTGGCATTTACGCTTGGGAGTGGAATCATTCCAGGCATTGGTTGAGACCATGGGTTGTTGGAAACCATTGGTTGGCATTTACGCTTGGGAATGGAATCATTCCAGGCATTGGTTGAGACCATGGGTTGTTGGAAACCATTGGTTGGCATTTACGCTTGGGATGGAATCATTCCAGGCATTGGTTGAGACCATGGGTTGTTGGATTGGTTGGCATTTACGCTTGGGAATGGAATCATTCCAGGCATTGGTTGAGACCATGGGTTGTTGGAAACCATTGGTTGGCATTTACGCTTGGGAATGGAATCATTCCAGGCCTTGGTTGAGACCATGGGTTGTTGGAAACCATTGGTTGGCATTTACGCTTGGGAATGGAATCATTCCAGGCATTGGTTGAGACCATGGGTTGTTGGAAACCATTAGTTGGTATTTACGCTTGGGAATCAATTCATTCCAGGCATTGGTTGAGACCATTGGTTGTTGGAAACCATTGGTTGGCATTTACGCTTGGGAATCAATTCATTCCAGGGATTGATGGTGGTGCAGAAGTTCGGCCACAGTATCACTCAGGGTTTATCCCCACTTCTGTCATACAGGGGAGAACCCTGTTTTTTTTGGTGTTGGGGGGGTGGGGTGGGGTGGTAAATGATTCTTGCGTGCGCCTTAGACCTTTTCGGAACACATGTGTCTTGGTTTTGCGCACCGAAAAGCTGCAACACAAACATGTAAACAGCCTCCCAGCAGTCCAAAAGCCTTTTCTTGGTTTCGCTTCACTCAAGATAACACACAAACACTAATAAAAACACATCCCCCCTCCGCCCAAAAAGATACGCACACAAGCAGCACCCCTTGCTTCCCTCCCCCCCCAACAACCCTCCAAACAAAGACACACATACACAACACAACACCTCCCCCCCAAAAGAAAAAAAAGAAGCAACATAAACAGCAAGGCCGTTTGCTCCCCCCCCAAAAAAAAACAACAAAAACTGCGCGTAAGAGCAACCCCGCCAACCGTTGCTTCCCCACAACAAGAAACACAAACGCAGCCTGAAAACAACCAACACCTCTCGAGGATTTGAGGGGTCTGGGTCTCGATAGGAAGGGTTTGGACCTCAAACAGATCAACATGTATGACAGTGCCAGGATTCTTCGGCTCGGTTCACCCCCTAAAGTGGAGGTCCTCACTTCCTGAGTTCGTGAACTTTAAGCTTTTTGGGAAGACCAATTGAGTGGTAAATATATAGTTTGGATTTTTTGGGGGGCATCCGCTCAGCAAGAGGGTCACCTAAACGTCGAAACGTCTTAGGGCGCGATATCCCCCGCCCCCCGTCCCACCAAAACGGTCAGGCGCTGGTGCACAGCACCGCGGAAGCCCTGCTGGGCCGCTTCGGGCGCTGGGATGCTGAGGCCCTCAAGGCCCGGCGCCGGGGTTTGCGCCTTTCGAGGGCGTGCGCGGCTTTGGTGCGCGGGCAAAATGGGTGTGTGCGTGTGTGTGCTTGTTGGAGGTTACCCAGTTTTTGGTTAAAGGGAAACCAGCAGGACGATCGTTTATTTGGGGTTTTGACACATACCCGAAATTTGTGTGTCATTGCCAAAAAGAATTCCCTGGTACCCTGTGACGCACCAAATGATTTCTGTTTGGCTTACAGAGGTACCCTCAGAGGGGTCAAAGAAGTCTGGCCCAGGTTCCGGTGTGTATCTTTGTTTGAGGGAACCGGTGGGGCTTCCTGAATTTGCGGAAAGGTATACCCAAGCCCTTGGAGAGGTCGCTCATTCACGATTCACCCAATGAATTCATGTTTGTTTATACATTTTGTCGTTGTTGTTTTTTTTGGGGTGGGGGGGGAATCGGGGGGGTTGAAATTCCAAATCTGGGGACGCTGGCAACCGAAAAGCCGCCCGCAGTCATGTGGACCAATACCACTTAGGGAGCTGAACCGTTTCAGCCTCACAGTCAACCGATATACGTTTCAAAGACAAGGAACAGGAACAACCACCACAGCCTGGGTAAATTACCAAGACCTCACCTTGCGAGCATACCCATGGTCCTTTACTCAGGGATTCGAACACTCAATGTGTGAACTGATTTCTGTCTGGATCCAAGGCCATTGCCCCTGACAGGCTGGATGTTGCTCAAGCAAGTAGCACCCATTGTTTCAGTCACCCTGGACCCTCAAACTACCCTTAAACAAGGGACACCACCTCATATTTGTTGGGTTGCAATAACCCATTTTTAGTCGGGTAGTTTGAAGATCGGTTCAGGCCCTCCTTTGGTTTTTCTTTTCCTCCATCAGCTTGCATATGATGACTCTGGCAACTCCGAGGGTCCAGAGCCGTTTGGTTTTTCTTCTCCCTAGGGCGGTGGTGCAAGCCGGTTTTCTCTCAGCACCCGGCAGCATGGGCCAGGAGCAGCAGCTTTTCCGGTACCGCCTTGGGGAGGAGAACCTCACAGAGGCCGGTGAGGGGTGCAGTCAATGCAGCTGTTTGTTTGGATCTTTAACCGCCTTTTACACTCTCACAGACTAACATGGAAGCTCCCAGAAGGCCTCCGGAAATGGAACTAAGTCTTCCAAAGGGGGTCCTGGGAGCTTCCATGTTAGTGTGGGGGAGGGTATGATAATTATATGCATGTATTTGTGTGCATTTATTTTCCCAGTAGCTAAGAGTGCAACTGAAAACCGATTTGATGATTTTCCGTTCTCGCAATCGGGGCGATGGCGCCGACAGAAAGGGAACGTAACGGGCATCGGTGTCCCAAATTGGGACCTTCTTTGGGAGAAATCTCAGGTAGCTTCCAGGGGGTTTTCCAGTGGCGGGCTTCGGTTTGTGTTTTGACCGAGTGCCCTTTCCGGTTAGGCAAGGTTGCCTTGCTGGTAAGCCAAAAAGCCAGAGGGCTGCTCTGGCTCGCTTTATTCAAGCAAGGAGGGACAATTTGAAGTCTGCTTCCGTTGAAGGCAACAGCCATGACACGAACGGATATAGAGGGACGGTTAGGCAGTGGTTTGTTTGAGGACGACAGGCGGCGGAACCCCAACTTCTGCTTTTTACCGTCCAAAAACGGCTGGGAGAATACTAGGAGCCCACACTCATTGAGTTTTCTCGAAACAATGTTAGTGAAGGCAGAAGCCACTCAAATGGTGAACCATTACAACAAAGATACTCTCGGGTTGACATGCATTCCCATGAGTATGACAAGGGTTTTCCCACTTGGTTCCGCACTAGACATGAGCAATCCAAGGCCCATCTTCCTCACAGCACCATTGAGCAACTAAGTGCTCACAGTATCTCACAGTCTTTCCGCCGTATCCAACCGGGCCCAGACGCTTTGACGGAGCAAAGCCGACCAGCCAAACGAAGTGGTCTCTATTCTCATGGTGGCGGTTCTGTCGAAGGCGATCGAATTCGACAGAACTGAACATGTGATTTCGGCTTATCCAAAGATTGGCGCCTGATAGTCTAGCAAGACAGTTAGTCTTGGAATCCTTACATGGAGAGATAGATGGAAATAGACGTCTGCCTTTTAAAGATGAGCAACATATACCTTTTTTTTGGCGCTCATGTCTAGAACTTTGAGGGCCTCTGGATTGATTCAGAAGGGAGCAAACTTGTACACCCTGGGAATTTGTCGTTGGGGGTGGGTTCAAATATGGTAAAGATGTGCTTCAGGGTGTCCATGCTAACATCGAGACCAACAACATATTCTCTCGGGGCCAGGACTGCGGCTCCAGTTTCTCCGACATCACCGGGCCCAACTGCCTCCAGGCCGAGCCAATGACGGGTGGGCCATTGGGGTCACAATTTGGGCTTGGCATTCGGAGGCTTGGCATTCCCCTGGCAACTCGCAGCTGGAAGGTGCCTGGAACAACTTGGGAGTGTCTTTTTTAGGGCACCCCCTGTTGGTGGTTAAAAGGAAACGAAAAGGACCCCGTTGCCATTTTGGGGGTCTGTTTTATTGACACAAGCCCACTTCTTGAAAGCACCCCTTGTGAATGCTCATAGGGAACCACAAGGCGAAGGCGACACGCACACTTCTGCTTCCCTGAACCAGCGGTAGACCGGAGTGTTGGCCATAGTTTCTGAAAGCGGGCCAAACATTGTGTAAAGCGAAACCAACAAGGGACACCAAACGGAGTCCAAGGGTTGTTTGATTCCCCTGGTTGGTTGGGTTGTTGGGTTGTTGGGTGGTTGGCTGGTTGGTTGGTCGGTCGGTCGGTTGGTTGGCTTCCTTTGGTTTGGAAACCAAACAGATATCCCGTTGAATGATCACGCAATGCAGTTCATGGCTTTTTGGATTTCCCGTGGTGCAATGTTTGGGGGTATATAACAGGAGGAGCCTCCGAAAATAGGAGCTACCTAAGGATGGTTGGTATTTACGTTGGGGACTCGCATCAGAAGCCAGGATTTCTTCGGTGCGAGAAGTGGATGTCGCAACACAAGGGCTGCAGGCCCCGAAGTTGGGGGTTGGTCAAAAGCTCCAAGGTATACATGGTGAGACCATTCGGGAAGCCACCAATATTGACTTGCACCACATGGGAAAAGTTACAAAATGGGCCCATGGTCATTTTGGCCGTGTGACTTGCACAGGTTGGGACTCTCTCCGTGCAGCTGGACGAGGCGCCTTTTTTGGATTCGCTTTTCTGTTGGACCACGGAGGGTAGATGCCTCAAATACGGCAAGTGAACTGACCCTATTCAACCAGACGGCAAATTGAAGGGTTGCCTAGTTTTCTCCTAGGTCCTTTAATTTCCCTTAGGACCTCCGAAAGTGGCAATATGGTTTCAATGGAACCCAGTAAATTGAAAATCCAGGGACCCCTGAAGTACTGCAAGTGAACCGACCATGCTCAACCGCCAGACCATGTGGCGGCAAAATGGAGGGTTTCCTAGTTCTCTTGCTTGCAGTTAGGGCATCCACCGTGTTTCCCTGTTTGGTCGCTTGAACCATCACCATTTTGGCACAGGCGAGCTTTCTAGGGGTGGTGATAGGGTGAAGCATCGGGGGTATCTGTACGAGGGCCGCCTGGGGGAGGCCGAGACCTCGATTCACCATGAATGGGAAGGAGATGTCAGGGAACGGGCGAAGCTGCCAGCTTGAAACATAGGCGGGCGCCAATTGACAGGCCTTTGAACAAGGGTTCCGTCATATCCCTTGGTGTAGGTCTAGGGCCGTTTTGGGAGGGACATGACATAGGAAGACTCACTCGTGAAATTGCAAAACAAAAAGAGACCGGGGCACTTGCTTGTAAGTTGTATTCCCATGTCCATATATTTGGGAAACCAAGGGTATACGAGCATTTGGCAAGACTACTGGCATGTTGGTTTGGAGAGGACATGGGGATTTTTTTCGCCCATGCCCCATCCCCCCCCCCCGAATTTTCCTGAAACAAACAGCAAAACCCAGAGCTCCATCCCCAAGAGTGGGATGAGTATGTTCGTCCGGCTTGGTTGGATCTACTAGGTGGACCGGTGGCTGGTGGTGATCGTGTCGCCCGCGCTGGCCTTCTACTCGATGGCAAAGACGATCGAGTCACACGTGCTCGAAGAGTTCGAGGCGAGAAGTCGAGTTGGGTCAAAGTTTGTCCACCAAGAAACGGACCGCAAATGTTAGTCCTTGGTTCCATATGCCTGGGTTCCACTTTGGGTACCTGTTTTTCACCCACGGCCTCGTTGGTCCCATGGTTTGAGCAAGTGAGGGGGGGGAGGAATTCAATTGGGAACTGACCTTACCTGAAAGCAGGGAACATGGCCCAGAACATTGAAAAGCCAACTATTTGAAGGTCGGATCATGTCCCACAATCCTTGAAGGTCTCCCAGCCCTTGAAGCAATGACCAGCCGCAAAGGGTGTGATCATATCGGAATTTCTCACGATGCGATCCGCGCGGCGCCTATGAAAGCATGAGCTGGGATGGCAGACTGGGCATGTGTCGTCGTCATCCGAATTCAGCATCATCTTCCGTCAGGTGCAAAAGGGAAACCACCATGAATCCAAAAGGAAAGCCGCCTGGAAAAATGTGGTATTGATTTTGACACCCGGAGAGGGAATCGGTCCATTGATTCGCCAGGTCATGGACGCGAACATGGACATGATGGCCGGGCTTCCCAGACTTGGTGCGTGCTCGGTGTGTCCGGTCGCCAACGAGTCAGCTGGGGGTGTTTGCTTTTGACCTATCGCACTTAAGAATTGGCCCAGGCATACAGTTGAAGCAAAACAAACAGCTACCGTTTCTTGCACAGTTATATTATATTATATATATATATGTATATACATATACGTGCACATATGCACAAATGTCATGTATGCCTGATGCCAATTATCTTGATACTGGAGTAGTTGGTGTCAGTGATACGTGCATGTCAAACAAGGGCACAATAGCAACCGCCCAGATGTTCAACGCATGAGCATCAAGTTTGCTATCTTCTTGGAATGGTGTGGCAGCTATTGGTACCTGAGGCGGAACTCCGGTACAAGTCCATGTTTGACTGTTTGTTGTTCTACATTTTTCCAGTTCCTGTTCCCGTTACCACTAGCAGACTAAGCGACCATTTGAAACGTAAAGCCCCCTAGCAACTGAATTACTGTGGGCCTCAGGGTTTGTGGCGACGTTTTAGCAGTGACCTTCCCTATACAAGTTAAAGCTTCATGTTGGCTTTTCTCAAAAAGGTGGACCCGAAACAGCGTGGTTTCCTTGTGGTTTCCCTCAACAAACTTGTACCCGCAAAGAAAGAGACACCCATGTATGTGATATGTATCCACATTTGGGGACGTTGGTTTTGTTAATTAGTACCGATATTTTTTTCATATAAGCCACACAGCCCATTCTGGGGCCTCTTGATCCTAGCCCTGGTTCTACCCCCGCGCAAGTTTCCACCAATCCATGTTGTGGAGCTTCATGTACTTTAGCGCAAACCCAGTTGACAACTTGGCCCTTTCCGGGGACTCTTTCTGAAGTTTGAAGGCACTTTGTCTGTTTGACAAGGGTCCCTTTCCTCCATTCGGAAGGCAAACCCAGTTCGAATTTGTGAAGGCAGCAAGCTTCGGGACCCCTTTAAATTCGAGTTTGATCGAGCCATGTCCCACTTCCTTTGCGGCAACCCCTCTATGTTCCAAGACGATCGCCATTTGGAATTGAGTTTTTTTTTCTTCTGTTTTTCAAGTACCCCGTTTGCCAGTCTATCTCCCTCGAAGCCAGGCTATTGCGGCCCTTGATTCTTCTGTTCAACCCAAACCGTTCCAGCGCCCATCCGTCTGTTTTTTGAGGTTTCCCATGTTGGATTGCCTTCAAGGAAAACGGAGAATCCAGCCAGAGCGATCGTCCCCGAAATGGGTGCTGTACGCTGTATGATTTCTCTTTGTTCCGCTTTGGGATATACCTAAACCCTCAAAGTTCTCTTAAAACAGGGTTACAGCCCCAACATTCTTGTGCGAGCTCCCATTTTCACAGGTCCTTTGAGGGTCCAGGTACATCCGTGGGAGTCTGGGCGCTTTCCAACTCGCGCTTTCCGACGTCCCAGGGGGTGACCATTTTGCAGAGCGCCGGCTTCGCGTTTCTGGTGACCACGGTGCTCACCATGGGCCTCGGGGTTTGCCTCGGCACCGCGGCCGGGGGCTCAGATCCGATCCGGCGGCCCGAACGTTCAATTCAACGGGGCGCTGGAAGCGGGACGTGGACCTGGGCAAAACGAACAAGGAGTCTGCGAACTCGAAGAACACGTGGTGGTCATTTAAGGCGCGCAACCCATTTGGTTCTCAGTGAACCGATTCCTCTGCCCACACCACGCAGGCTGGACAGCTACAATCACAGCTACCAGGCATTGGGGCACACCCCGGGGCAACCGGCTTTTAAGGGCTGCAGCTACTCACAGACACTCCCCCCACTCTGCAGCTCTTGCATGCAGAGTGCACTGCGTGCAATCTACTATGCCGTGGGGCATGAGCCACCGCACCGACTGTTAGGGACCCAGCCACATAAGTTGGAAACCCACCGCATGCCGCCGTAGCTTGCCACACCCTGCAAGCCGCAGTAGCTGTCACACTTTCTCTGAGCACCGCCCATCAGACTGTCACGTGCCCTGTGCCGCCCACTAGCTGCTAGCTCACATGCTGATATTGCTGATGTTTCTGCCTTACCGCGTCCTCAATCGCCTCATGTTTGGGCTCGTAACCTAAGTAAACTGATTCCTCTACCCCCGCCCAAGCTGGGTAGCTACAATCACAACCATGGGGGCGTGCGCCCGGGCAACCAGCTCTTAAGGGCTGCAGCTACTCACACAGTTCCAATTGAAGCGTTTTGGGGGGTCTAATTGGCGGACGGTTTGGCCAGAGGTGAGACTTTCCGCGAAATCGTGGGAAAGGCTGCTGCACGAAGCACACCGAGCTCTCGGAATCTCACGGGAATGAAGGTGTGCCCACACATTCACCACAGCGCCTTGTGTGGGGCCATGAACAAATGCTTGCCTGGCTATGTTCGAACAAGTAGATCCCCATAAATCAGGGGGTTCTCTACATGCTTGAACGCCGGGCTCCAGAATCACCTTGTGCTTGCCACATTTCTCTTGGATTCCTTTTGATGTTAACCGGAGCAAAGCACTCGGAACCCAGTCAATAGCAGTCTCGTGAAAATTAAAGGCAGACCCCAATCCCCCCTCGCCCACCCGCTTTTTCTTTTGCCAACGGGTTCTTAAAGCACTTTTGAACAGCTGAAGTTCCAAACTACCTTTGGGAAGACAGTTGTCGAAGATGTGCTTCAACAGGCTCCATTTGCATGAAAAGGGCCTAAAACATTGTTGCGGAAAAAAAACTGGGGGTTGTGGTGCCATTTTTGTGTGTACCAAGGAATCCCCGTATTTGTCAAAGGGGAGCCTGCAAACATTTGTCGTTTTTGCTTTCCTTCGTTCAACCAACACCCTGATGTCCTGGTCATTCCCTACCTCTTAGCTGGTGGTTTCCTTTTGTCGGGGATCCCCAAAACCCGGTTCATTCCCAGCACCCGGCTTTCGTGGTCATTCGCCAATGTTAACCCGGATTAATCAATCCCTGGTCGATTCATAGGAGGGTGTCCCTTTTTGGAGATTCAGACCACTTTTGGAGGGAACACCCATCCCCTGGGAACCCCTTTTGGAGGGAACCCCTTATGAACACCCCAATATCCTGGGTCAGTCCCTCGCGGAAGCGCTGTCCGCTCCGCCCGGTCCGCCGAAGCCTCGAGGTGTCCTCTCCCCTGCGGGAGCTCACGGGCTTGCTGCGGCGCCTTGGGGATCTCGACTTCAGCACCTGCCTGCAGGCCACGTTGAACCGGGCACCGGGCGGTTTGCGAGGGCCCGTTGAGGCTTCCCATGAAACGAGCTTCCTTCTTCTTTTCTTTTTTTTTGGGGGGGGCGTTTGGTGGGATTTAGGCAAAAAGCAGGTTCGTCGTGTTCTTTTTTCTCCTCTATCAAGATATATTGTGTTGTTTCTCTAGATGGAGGACAGAACAAATTGAACCCTGGCAAATGGAACCAAGGACTAAATCCTACAGCCCCTAGCAGTTTAATTTTGACCCATACCCATCTAATTGTTCATCGGTGTTCCTTTGGTTTTCTTTTCAACCAGGAAAGAGCCATGGGTCAGCGGAAAACAAATGAGCCACAACAAAACCCGGGTAGATGAAGGTTAGTAAGGGACGATTCCAACCTTAAATAGCTGCGGCCGCCTTCTTAATCCGGTATACGGCCCTGGGTAGAGAATCTTAGTGCCAGGTTTTGATTGCGACTCAAATCATGGTTGCCCTTCAGGTTTCATTTGAATGTGAAGGGGGAAGAGCCTCAGCGTGTCGTTTCTTTTCGCAGGTGCAATTTAAATGGGTCGCTGACTTCGCACGAACTGGGACCCTTCCCGCAGGTGCCGCCTCCCCGATTTGTGGTCAAAGATCGTAATGGTCCCAATCCCCATCATGGGTGTGTATATGGGGTTAAGTATGGCAGCTAAACTTGCTCAGACCTCGTGAAATGACCTCGGGGGTGGTACTGGCAGCCATGAAGTTGCCAAGATATCCGTGGAAATAGCTCATCCGTCGCTCATGTTTCAAGCGCTCCATGGCCGATCCAACATCCATCCCGTTCAATGATTCTAAGTGATCGGGAAGACAATGAAATGGCTTCCGGGATCACACAAGTCGTTGGAAGTTGTTTGGGTGCCGTTTTTCGGATGCCTTCATGCGGGTCTTGAACTTCACTGCTGGGTCGAGGGATAGGTCAGTGAGCATGAGTCAAACTCATCCGACTCGACATTTCAATATTGGGATAGAGCCAAGGGAAGCCTAAATTGATGGTTTGTAGCCCCTAATAGCCAGTATTCGTGCCTAGTCACTATTAGGCTGCAACGGCTCCCCTATGGCTCTAAATTAGTGTAGGAAGCATCATGACAAGGAGCATCACAATCCTTCTTTCCACTTGTCTTTCCGTTTGTTGCTTTGCAGGGGGCTCGTTTAAATGAGCCGAGAGAAAGTGTGTCCTGCTTGTCCAGGCCTTTGCGAAAGTGACAAATCGCTCATGCATTCTGTCAGGGAATTTGGGCACTTGATTGCCGACATCAATCAGCAGAAAGGACTCTCATTGATCGGCTGCTGTTTTTTTCCCAAAGCTCCAAACAGCTTGAGAGGCTTATCCATGATTTGGAACAGAAGCAACTTCAAGAGGTTGATGTTTGTTTTTTTCTGGTTGAAGCCAGCCGTTTGGTAATTTGGCTAAAAGCAATGGGGGTGGCACTCGGAATCGGGCCTGCCAAGTAATCAGTCGTAGAGTAGGTGCTATGCAGTATCGGTTTCAATTGGTTTATTATTAGTTTGTGATCCAGAACTGTATGGACTCGGTTTGGAACCAGTTTTCACTTGATTCCTGCCAGCGCTAATTAAGTAGGACACGTTCACCCTGAGCAAACATGTTCGGTATGTTCTAGCCCTTTGTCCATTTCAGGGGTGGGCAAATTGTACAACTGTTCTGCAATTCCCTTCATTTGTTATTTGCCATTTGGTGTTAACCCCAACCCAGATGCACGGCGTGTGGGTATCCTTCTTGGTGTGGCTTCCCTTCGAACCAATCAGCAGCATCCTTTTCCCATGGCCAACCGGTGGCTGCAGCCCTGGGTAGGGCCGGTAGGGCCCGTGTCTGTTACAAGGAAGTCCCCCGTGTGATAAAGACAAAGTCTGGGGAATGGCTCGCTTTCGTACTGTGGATGGTCCAAATCCTGCACCACCTAAGAAGCCCTGCAATGATGATTTCCCTGTAACTACCAACAAACAATGATGTCCCGTGGTTTCAAGGTGGTGCAGGATTTTGTCTATCCACAGTATCACTCACCAGCGTGATCTCCTGCTAAACCTGCAAGATCCGCTCGGCATCTGCCAGGCACGTGCCCCCAGTAGCATCCACGACATTTGTGAGGTGCAGGATGCGCCGCTCGGTCGAACAGAAATCGCCCGCCCTTTTTTTTCCCCCGTGTCCAGCGGCCGAGCCGGTCTATTTCTGCATCCTGTAGGTGAGTTGGACCCAGCAGATTCGTGTTGGCAGGTAAGCACCTTGTCAAGAGCCGCTAAGTCAATCTGGCCTCGGAACCTGTTTAATAGGAAACTGGAAGTGCACAGAAGCATTTTGTTAAAACATGCTTAGCGGTGCATTGCCCAGGGGAATGTGGGTATCCAAGTGTAGCCCATTCTTGCCCGGCTTTCAAAGCAAGCCAAGATGAACCCAACCCTTTTAAGGTTCCCTGGTTTGAGACACAGCGGAACTTGACAGTTCCCATGTCTATTGGGATACCTGCTTCATTGTGTATAGTATTGCGCATTGCGACACCGCATCTTGCAATCTCATGTTTCGATCCCAGACCACCACGGGCACAGGGCGGCAACAAACAACATGGGCCGTTTTTTGGTTGACACTCCTGACAGGAACCTCAGTCCCCCAACGCGCCCAACTCGGGCCCGTTCAATTGTCCAAGCCTTGCATTCGGTGCCGTCGTTGCTCAGATCTATCTTGGCAGGTCGCTTGACAGTGGCCACCATGGACCAACGCGCAACCCTCCTGCGAACATGAAATGCAAGACAGCTGTTGCCACCTGAAACCCCACAAACCCATAAACTGTGGCATGTCATGAGGGGAAGCGTGGGTGTCCGTGGGCGTCCTACGTACATACATGATATATATATATATATATGCAACCTCCCCCCCCCCCAAAAAACCCAGGTTTTGAACCTGGACAATTGCCAAAATCACTAGGAAAAATGCTACTTTTGAGAAACATGTGTATTTTCGCCTCTGCGAAACGCATACTTTTCATTTTCAAGGCAAGTTCAATTAGTTAGTCAAACAACCAGTCAGCAAGTCAGCTATTAGTCAGTTAAATAGTTGTAATGAATGAGCTCTGAAGCCAGTTAGCTAGTTAATTGGCTAATCAGTTAGTTATCTATTTAGCTGCCTAGTTAGTTAGATAGTACTGAAGGTATTCCCCTAATATTCCCCTTCCCTGACTAGTGAAATATTTAGGGAACACTAGCTAGGGGTATACCAAGAGATACTAAAGGAATACTAGCGCAATACTAGGGGAATACTAGGGCAATACTAGGTACATACTCAGGGAATACGAGGGCAATATTAAAGGTGAATACTGGGATAATACGCCGGAGTACTGAGGGAATACTAGGGGTATACTCTCAAGCTCAATCTGTCTGACTTCTCTCAGGCTTCCTGACTAGGGCAATACTAGGGCACTACTAGGGAAGTACTAGGAAAATATTTATAGGTGAATACTGGAAGAATTCTAGGAGAATACTGAGAGAAAACTAGGGGTATACCAAGAGAATATTTAAGGAATGCTAGGGCAATACTGAAGGTATTCCCCTAGTATTTCCCTTCCCTTACTAGGAAATACTCGGGGCATACCAAGAGAATACTAAAGGAAGACTAGGGCAATACTAGGGAAATACTCAAGGAAGACTGGGGGAATACTAAAGGAGCATACTAGGAGAATGCTAGGAGAATGCTGAGGAAATACGAGGCTCAATTTGTCGGGACAAGTCACCAGGGCAATACAAGAAAAATGCTCAGAAAATACGAAAGCGTCGCATGCGTTCTTGAGGTCATCAAAGGTCATATCCTCAGGCTCCTTGGCCATGCTAGGACAGGGTCAGAACAAAGGGCAGAAGAGGAGTAAGGAAGCGCTGGAGCCAGACAGCTTCAAATATGGGCTCGGTTCTGCTCAGATGCCAAGGAAAACTGAAAATACAGAAAAAACTGAAAAAACTGAGAAAAAAAAACTGAAAAACCAAGGATTCTGAGGGACATGGCTGGCGGGGGTCATGTCCCTCAGAATCCTTGGTTTTTCAGTTTTTTCAGTTTTTTCATTTTTTTCATGTTTTTCAGGTTTTTCAGTTTTTTGCAGTTTGTGCAGTTTTGCAGAGAGTTTCTTGTCTGAATTGTATTGAGGAATTGCCAGGGAGTTTCCAGAAAGCTTCGGTCATATCCTCAGGCTCCTTGGCCATGCTAGGACAGGGTCAGAACAAAGGGCAGAAGAGGAGTAAGGAAGCGCTGGAGCCAGACAGCTTCAAATATGGGCTCGGTTCTGCTCAGATGCAAAGGAAAACAGAAAAAACTGAAAATACGGAAAAAACTGAAAAATAAAAAAAAACTGAAAAAATGAAAAACCAAGGATTCTGAGGGACATGGCTGGGGGGGGGGGTCATGAGTTAGACAGGGGCTTTCCCGTCCGCATTTTGCCATCCGGTCCTAGGGTCCCCCCCACACTTTTGGGCACAATTCAAATACGCCCACTAAAACAGCCTATTTTCAACATTCAAATCCAATCACCCAACCAATCCAACCCCAAAAAACATATTCACATACCCATCTTCATTTCTTACCCCATCTCAACATCACCCCTATGCTCATTCAATAACAACAATCATAACTACATACCACCTCAACAAATCCCACCAAAAAAAATCCAAGCTACATACCAACATTTTTTCATTCCCAAGATCGCAACCCCAAGATCCAAACTGCAACCCTTTCCCATTTCCAACAAATACGAACAGTCTAAAAAAAAACACCCTATGTTCGCCCCGAAAAATGGTTAACCAATGGAAAAGGGAGAATTAAAACCGTTAACCCAAATCTTGAAAACAATCCCAGTAAAATATGGATGGCAAAATGCGGATGGGAAAGGCCTATGTAGGAAAGCACACCCACGGCTTATACGGGAAAATTAAACTAAAATTACAACATATAAGATCTTATATGTTGTAACTATAGTATAATCAAGAACTGAAACATTCATCTCAATAATAGCTAGCCGCGCTTTCATTATCGCTAAATTCTTCATCCTCGTCATAGAAGTCTTCCGTGCTTAATATATGATAAAATCGGATATGCCATTCTGCCTCTTTTCTGAATGGCATCATTTCCAACAGTGCTCTCATTGCGTCGTAATAACCAATTCTCAAGTGTTTTCTTTTGTCATCAATACTATCAATGAACCAGAGCTGTTTAAATTTATTTTCAATATCATATATGTAGGAATAATTATAGAACGCTTTCAATTCTAAATATATTTCATAATCAGATTTGGTATCATCCAATGCTTCAGTTAAAGTCATTGCCCAGAATGGGTTTCTTTTTACTCTTTCCCAAGTTGGAAAATGGTTTTTAAGAATATCATTAAACCTGTAAGGACATATATCATAACAGTGATATGACATAATATTCAATCTAATTTCCAATGGTAGATTATTAATGTCGCACATACTTTACTTAATATATTAAGGTAATATTTCTTTAAATACATTTTCAGGGAAACAGAGAAAAATGTTTTCAATCAAGAATAAATCCCTGTATCTTCATCATAGTCGATTTGATAAAATGTCATAGTTGAAGCCTTCGGTTCTTTAATTTCTTTGTTATTAAGTTTGTTTAAATAGATGTTTCTTTTATTTTTATATTCACCATTGGTTCGATCTACTTCCTTACTTTGATAATTGTTTGTAAATGGTTTCTTCTTTTCTATTTCTTGCAAGATTTCTAAAATATTCTTATTCTGTTCTAAAACCTTGTTCAGTTTTTTAACCATCTTTTCTAATCCTTCATCCATGTAAATATATATATATATTATATTATAAAAAAAAAAGAAAAACTTTTAAAACTAAATGTTTAAATTATGTTAAATCTACTCTTTAAATACTAATTTTTCATCATTTGTTTAACAGTTTCCTGAGTTTCCTTATCGCCATTATCGGATGGAGTAACTCCCCTCCCAAAGCGTATAGCAATATTATGAACATCTGTTTCTAAGTTGATACTGTCTTTAGTTTTATCAATATTCATTTTCTTATCATTCTTACTTAGTGTGAAACTTGTCGGAATACACGAGCATTTACAGTTTCCTTTCTTTTGTATTTCTAATTCATTCTTCATTTCTAACATCTTTTTACACATTGGACAAGCAAACTCAATAACTAATGTTTCTTTAACAACTTCTTCTTTTTCTTCATCAGTTGAAGAAACAACTGGTTCAGTCTTATTCTTTTTCTTTCTTCCCATTTATATTAATATTTACATTTTTATTTTTGATATATTGTATCACAAACTTAATTATTTCTAAAACAAAATAGCATACTTTCAAGCATCTATTATCAGTTATAACAACTTGTTCTAAATTCTCTACTTCATCTATTATATCAATATAATCTGAATAGCTTCTATTCATATAAAATAATAAATATAAAATATTTTCTAAATACCTTTAATATTATTTTATTATGTCAGATGTTCCAATAATAAAGCCAATAAACATAACTGAATATGAATTCAAACAATCTAAATATGAGCACGTGCCAAAATTACCATTTAGAAGTATTATAGTTGCGAGTTCGACAGGTGGCAAAACAGTCTTGGTTCAGAACCTTATCTTAAATGTTTATAGAAATTCATTTGCAAGAATATTTATATTTTCCCCCAGCGTTCATAATGACCCAACCTTTACAGAAGTTAAAAAATATATCAGGGATGAATTGCACGTGGATGATGAAAAAGAACAAATTTATTTTGATAATTATAATCCAAGTGATTTAGAAAATGTAATTGAAAGACAGAAGAAAATAATTAATTATATGAAATCTAAAAAGATAAAGAAACTACATTCAATATTAATCGTTATAGACGATCATGCCGACGATCCTAAATTTGTTAGATATAGTAAATTATTACATGGATTATTTACAAGAGGTAGGCACGATGCAGTAAGTGTAATTTGTTCAACACAAAAATACAATGTTTTGGCGCCTATCATTCGTTTAAATGCCAGTTCATTATATATTTTTAGGTTGAAAAATGCCAGTGAATTAATGAGTTTTATTGAAGAAAATAGCGCCATTGTTGACAAACAGCAATTATTAGATATGTATCA